GAGCTGCCTGGGGCTCCAGCCGCTTCAGCCTCCCTGAGCCTCAGTTCCTGCTGGTTTTTCCAGCCAGAAGTTATGGGGACTTCTCTTCCTGGCACTGGAACCCTGAGCGGGGCACCTGGTGTGGGACGGGGACCCCTCAGTCCTCAGAAGGACCTTCCCAGGTGCGGGAGCCTCCTGATTTTTATCCGCCACACTTGGGTGTGGGACCAGCCCTTCGAGATGCCGCCGCCCCACCCCTTGCGCCTCCGCCCCTCCTACCAGTCTGGATGTGGCTGCCGCTTTAATTTCGTAGTTGTAGGACTTCCATTCAGCTTGATTTCAGGCGGTTTTGAATGATGGTTGTTCTGTAGTTTAGTTGTAACTTTGATGTGGTTGTGGGAGGACGCAATACCGCATTTACCTACGCCGCCATCTTGACCCTATATTTTCTGACATGAATTTCCCTGTGTCAACCCAGAAAGTTTAATTATCCAGGCTTTGGGCCTGACCAGATGTAGTATTCTGGCCTTGTCTCTATTAGAAATACACCTTGATGGGTTTTTTTTGTAAGTTATTTATTTTTATTGATTGATTGATTTTTAGAGAGGAAGGGAGAGGGAGAAATATCCGATCGACTGCCTTCTGCAGGCCCCTTACCAGGGATTGAGCCCCCTTGATGTGCTATTTGATCAGACTGAATCATTTGGACCTTGGTTTCCTTGCCTGAATATGTTCCAAGGACTTGGTTTTCTTTTGAGGGTTAGGAGAAGTGTGCGAGAAGACCTGCTGCCTTCATGTGAATGACATCAATGCTACCCTTTGAGACCCCTGTCTTGCCCTTTAGGAATCATTCTGCTTTCTTAGCAGGTCCAAGCTGTCCAATATCCTGTTTTTCTAATCTGACCACAGTGGGCCTCTGATGACTGGCCTCTACAGCTCCCAGTCCTTAAGGTTTTCTCATTGTGAACATTTCCATGTTTGTTAGTAGATAAGACTTGAGCTATTTCCCCATTAATTCTCCTGTCAGCTTGAGTCTCCTATGGCCAAGCTTCTCTCCCTGTCTTACTCAAATTTTTTGTATACTATTAGCAGCAGTAATATATTCCTAGCACATGTGCCTTTGCCCTCCCCCAATTCCTTGTCCCACTGCCTCTCTCCTGTGGCCTAGCACTCTAATCTCTCTACAGGCATACCTCAGACACATTGTGGGTTCTACTTCAGACCACCGCAATAAGCGATAAAGCGAGTCACATGAAGTTTTTGGTTTCCCAGTGCATATAAAAGTTATGTTTACACTATACTGTGGTCTCAGTGTGCAATAGCATTATGTCTAAAAAAAAACAATGTGCACGCCTTAATTAAAAAATACTTTATTGCTAAAAAAAAATTCTAGCCTTCACCTGAGTCTTCAGTGAGTCATCATCTTTTTTGCTGGGGGAGGGTCTTGACTCAGTGTTGATGGCTGACTGATCAGGGTGGGGGTTGCTGAAAATTGGTGGCTGTGGCAATTTCTTAAAATAAGACAACGTAGTTTGATGCATCAATTGACTCTTCCTTTCATGAATGATTTCTTTGTAATGTGTAATGCTGCTTGATGGCATTTTACCCACTGTAGAACTTTCAAAATTGGAGTCAATCCTCTCAAACCCTGCCATAGCTTCATCAAGTTTATATAATATTCTAAATCCTTTGTTTTTATTTCAACAGTCTTCATAGCATCTTCACCAGGAGTAGATTCCATCTCGAGGAAACCACTTTCTTTGCTCATCCATAAGAAGCAACTCCTCATCCATTAAAGTTTTATCATGAGATTGCAGTAATTCATTCACAACTTTCAGGCTCCATTTCCAATTCTAAGTCTCTTGCTGTTTCCACCACATCTGCAGTTACTACTTCCTCCACTGAACTCCTCAGTCATTCATGAGGGTTGGAATAAACTTTTTCCAAATTCCTATTGATACTTTGACCTGTTTCCATGAACCGTGAATATTCTTAATAGCATCTACAATGGTGAATCCTTTCCAGAAGGTTTTCAATTACCTTTGCCCAGATCCATCCAAGTAATCTCTTATCTATGGCAGATATAGCCTTACAAAATATATTTCTTAAAAAGTAAGACTTGTGCCCTGGCTGGTTTGGCTCAGCGTTAGAGCATCAGCCTGCGGACCAGAGAGTCCTGGGTTTGGTGCCTGCTTGGGGGCATGTACTTCCGTTGCAGTTTGTCCCTGGCCCCGGTTGGGGTCGTGTGGTTGGCAGCCACTCGATGTGTATCTCTCACGTCAATGTTTTTTTCTCTCTCTCTTCCTCCCTCTTTCCCTCCTACTCTGTCTAAAGATAAATGCAAAAAAAAAAAGACTTGAAAGTCGAAATTGCTTCTTTATCTACAGGCTACAGAATGGATGTTGTGTTAGAAGGTATGAAAACATTAATCTTATTGTACATATCCATTAGAGCTCTTGGGTGACCAGGTACAATTATTGTCAGAGAACAGTAATATTTTGAAAAAAATTTTTCTGAGCAGGTCTAGACAGTAGGTTTAAAATATTCAGTAAACCATGTTGTAAACAGATGTACTGTTATCCAAGCTTTGTTGTTCCATTTACAGAGCACAGGCAAAATAGATGTAGCATAATTCTTAAGGGTCCTAGGATTTTCAGGATTGTAAATGAGCAGTGGCTTTAACTTAGAGTCACCAGCTGCATTGGCCCCCAAGTCAGACTGTCCTTTGCAGCCAGGCATTGACTTCTCCTCTCTAGCTATGAAAGCCCTGGATGGCATTTTCTTCCAATATAAGGCTGTTTTGTCTCCATTGAAGTCTGTTATTTAGTGTAGCCACTTTCACTGATTATCTTTGCTAGATCTTCTGGATAATTTGCATCAGCACTTGCTGCTTCACCTTGCACTTTGTTTTAGAGACAGCTTCTTTCCTTAAACCTGATAAACCAACCTCTGTTAGCTTCCAGCTGTTTTCTGCTGCTTCCTTGCCTCTCTCAGCCTTCATAGAATTGAATAGTTGGGGCCTTGCTCTGGATTAGACTTTAGTTTAAGGGAATGTTGTGGCTATTTTGATCTTCTATCCAAACCACTAAAACTTTCTCTATATCAGCAATAAGGCTGTTTTGTTTTCTTACCGTTCGTATGTTCACTGGAATAGCACTTCTAATTTCCTTCAAGAACTTTTCCCTCGCATTCACAACTTGTTGGCTGTGTGGTGCAAGAGGCCTAGCTTTGGGCCTATCTGAGCTTTGGATATGCTTTCTTCACTAAGTTTACTCATTTCTAGCTTTTGATTTTAAGTGAGATGTGCAACTCTTCCTTTTACTTGAACACTTAGAGGCCATTATAGGGTTATTAATTGGCCTAATTTGAATATTGTGTCTCAAGGACTAGGGAGGCCTGAGGAGAGGAAGAGAGATTAGGGTACGGCCAATCACTGTAGCAGTCAGAACATACACATTTATCGGTTAAATTCGCCAACTTATGTGGGCATAGTCTGTGGCGCCCCAAAAACAATTACAGTAGCAACATCAAAGATCAAATTGCAGATCACTATAACAATAATAAAGTTTGAAATATTTCTAGTATTACCAAAATGTGACACAGAGACACAGAGTGAGCAAATACTGTTGGAAAAATGGTCCTTGATAGACTTGATGCAGGGTTGCCACAATCCTTCAATTTATAAAAAACTCAATATCCACATAGCACAATAAAATAAAACACAGTAGAATGAGCTATGCCTGTACCTTTCTTTTGGATCCCTATGGCATGTCCTCGTGTTCCTGCTTTGATACAGAATTGTATCATTATCAGGGAAAATGTGAAAGGGTATCTGGTTCCATTTCCTGACCAGTCATCAATCAATACATTTTTTCTACTTAAGATCTTCCCCAATGCTGTACTAAGCATGTCAGGGTAATACAAATGAGGTATCATGGTCCGTTGTTGAATGGTACTGATAATCTGGCTAGAGAGAATTACTTCACATAAAACAATTAAAAAAGATTTTTTCTGCTGGTGAGTGGGCCTCTGGAGAGCAGGAGGGAGCCCATGTATGTTCATCTTTGAATCTATTAGAAGGTGCTTAGAAAATGGTGTGTGGACGGGTGGTTGGCAGAACAAGTATTCAGTTCCTGCTATGTTGGGGAGTTATACCTAGTGTATTTCCTATTTTAATTACTTAACCCTAGGTTTAGGTTTTATTTCTGACATTCCATACCTCTCTGTATCACCCCAGCCCCTTCTTAGGAAACTAAGACCTGAATAGGTTAAATATCTTGTCCAACGTCTCACAGCTGCCAAGTGTTAGGTGTCAGGATGAATAAATGACAGGATAATAAATGACAACTCAGGGAGGAGGAGAAATTTGTGTTAACTGCTGTGTCTACTAGCCATAGCCAGGAAGCACATCTCCTTTCCTGCTCAGCCTCCTTGGCCCTTGGCCCTCTGGAGAGACCTTCTCTATTCAGTAACCTGTCACCCCCTTCTCTCTGTGGTGTAGGTTGGCTATCAAGCAGGGAGCAATGGCCAGCCCCTTCCCTCGCAGTACATGAATGATCTGGACAGCGCTTTGGTGCCGGTGATCCACGGAGGGGCCTGCCAGCTCAGTGAGGGCCCCATCGTCATGGAACTCATCTTTTATATTCTGGAAAACATCGCATAGACAGAGGACATCTTTTTTTTTTTTTTCCTGTTCAGACTTGTTGCAACAGCAGTCATACCCAAGTCATTTGCACTTTAGAACTGGAAGATTAAGCTTTTGTTAACACTATTAATTGGGGGGGGGGGGGTACTGGGGTGGGAAAGGGTAGTTGGGGGACAGATCTTCCATAATTCTAAGTCTTCTATGCATTGTCCACAAGAAGATCTGGGCAGCTTCCGTTACTGCGCAAGTTATGCTATCCTTGCAGCTAAATCCCCTTCTGTTACTGTTTAGACAAGAATTTTGGTCCTGTTTTAAGACTTACGGTCTTGTGCTCAGAAATGCTCAAATGGGTACAACCATCACCAGGGGTGGGGGTGGGGGGCAGAGGAGAAATAAAAAATGAAGCATCAGTCTTGCACTCTTGTACAGAATTGATATAAAGAGAATATCACACTGGTATGGTCCCATACATCAGTGACTTCAAGTAGAAGTCACAGATTTTTTTTGTTTTTACCAGATTACCCAATGGATTATCCCTCTTCTAGCCAAGGAAGGGTGACTCAGTGTAAGTGAGGTGACTTGGAAAGCAGAGCCAAATTGAGGATTGCTCAACATCTGCCCCAGAGAATGGCAGGTATTGGTGGGCCTTTCTGTGAAAGCTGACAACACATGCAATACATTTTTAGTTCTAATATACACTAGAAGTATTTTTAAAAACACTTTATTGAGAAATAATTTAAACTTCCAAGAAGGGTGCAAGTACAAAAAACCCTATGTATGCTTCACCTACATTCACCTGTTGTTTACATATTAACATTCTGCCTCATTTGCTTTGTCAGTGTCTCTCCACAAAAAATGGAGACGTTTGAGAGTAAGTTGCATAGGTAATAGCCCTTTACCCCTAAATGCTTTAATGCTCATTTCCTAAAATTAAGGACATTCTCTTACATTACAGCAGGACATTTTGCAACCTCAGTCAATGTAACATTGATAAATCAGCTACTTTACTGTAGCATCCGTCCAATAATGTCCTTTATGGCATTTGTCCCTCTTGTAAAGCTTCTAGCCTAGGATCAGACATGGCAAATAGCTTTCCTGACCCACCTATATCTTTTATGCCCTTCATATTTTTGTGAGTATCGTTCCCTCACCTCATTTTTCAAATTTGATTGGTGTCTTTTCATAATTAGAATCAGTTTACGCATTCTTGGCCAGAATCCTACCTAAGTGATGTGTCCTTTTCAAGGAATCACCTCTGGGGTCACTGATGATGGTCAGTTTTGATCACCTGGTCAATGTTGTCCAATTTCTCCACTGTTTTTTTCCCTCCTTGGAATGAATAACCAATGTGTACAAACATTTTCAGATCGTGCAAATGTCTTGGCTACAAGAAAGATTTTTCAATTCTAGCATTCCCACCTTTACCAGTTACACTTGGTCGTCTATAAGCAAAGCTCTCCCTTCTTCCCTATTTATTTCCACTGTGGACTTGTGGTTTACTTTGTGAAAGGTTCTAATTCATTATTTGGGTCCTCAAAAGGCCTCAGCTTTGGCCAGAGAGCAGCCCTTCAGGGTAGCTCCTACATCCTTGTGACATGCTCCTATCTTATTTTTTCTGGCCTAACAAGACATTCCAGGCTCATCTAATACTCACCCTGCCCCAGCCTCGGAATCAGTCATGGTTTATTTTAGTGGTATTAGAAACCATGATTTGGTTTATCCATGACATATATGATATACTCTGAGTACTTTCTTTTCCATTAAAAACTCTGGTCACAGACCTAATGGATTTCACAATCGAGAGTTTGAAAAACATGATTCTAGGGTAATTCACTCCCTTGTCACTGTCATCTTCTGAAAGCCTAGGCCAAGCAGCAGATGGTCCCTCTGCATAAAAGTGCAGCTCCAAGAATCCTCGAAGCTACTGCAGGCCTCTGGGATAGTGCGAGGCCGCTTCCCAGTGGTTAAAGCTGGGCTTAGCACTTGGAAATTAAGGCTGTGGAGCTATATTTAGGGCAGCAGCCGTCTTCCAAATAGGCCTAAAAGCCTGGCCTTTAATTTGAAGTGTGTCTACCTACATTTATCCCATTTACATGGTTGGGGTGTGTGTGTAGAAATCCACATTCTCTATCTGTCTCTCCATAGGCTTTGCTGGTAGTGGCTGCCGAGAACTGTGATTGTGACCTTTCCTACAGACTCAGAGGTACTCAGGGCTTCTAAGGGAAAGAGTAGATGACCAAAGAATACCAGTGTATACTGAGCCCTGGGACCACACACATCCTTCCAAAACCTGACAGGAACACCTGTTAATGGGGGCAGGGATTTGGGATGTAACATCCAGCTTGCAATTGTACATATTTCTTCTGGGACAGTACAAGCTTTTAAATTCTCCCACTAAGGACAAACTGGCCCTGCAGAGTCAGGTCCATTCTCAATTGCATAAAATAGCCAAGGCTAGTTTACTTTTCCCCTTCTTGTTTTTATACACTGTATATTGTAAGAATTATATAAACCAGTGAGCTGAAACATCACTTTTCTAAATAAGTCAAATTTTTCTAGAATGTAAACTTAAAGATTGACATACAGGTACCCTTATAAACTGAAGAGGAATAGAATTACCATATGATAACATTGTTTTTAAAAATTACTGAATTCTTACCAAATGCTAGCCAATGTGTTTCTCCATTTATTTTTATCAACACTTTCCGAGCTCCTCCTACTGGACTATAGAAATATGGGACTTTGACTCGTGTGTAAGTTCCCATCTAATATCGTCCCTCATCCAGTGGTTCCAGAATGCTTGTGGGCCCAACAATTCCAACTAAATTTATTTGTCATAACTAGTCATCAGGGGAAATAATTTGTGCATTTAATGTATTTTAGTCAGTCAAGAAATCTGAACACTGTTTCTGTACTGAATAAGTTTGTCCTATTTTAATGCTAAAATAATTTTAACATTAATGGGAATTTTAGGGATTGTATATGTAGCCAGAAAGGCTAAGGAGTAGAGCAGGAATGATAAGCCCATTCTAGATTTGGGGAGCTGAGGCCCAGAGAGGAAGAGTCTGTCATGGAGCTGGACCAGGTGCAAGCTCCCTGGCTCCACCAGTCTCAGCTCCACAGTTTCATCCTAAAAGGAGCTGCCTAGTTAAAGGGCAGGATCTTTTAGACATGCCCACAAAATTTGGTAAACAAGCTCTCAAAATTTGGAACCAACAATGCAGGTTTCAGAATGATGGTACAAGAAAGGAAAATAATGTTAAAGTCACAAATAGTTTGCCTTTTCACTGTGAGCAAGACTTCCTAAGAAAAAAATGTCTTCCCTATTTTATTTAGTTCACTAATTCAGAAGAAAGTGTGCCTTGCACTAGATTAAAGAGAGAATTTAAAAATATTTCAGTCATGGGTGGTTCTCAACTGTTCAAGTCACTAATCTCCAATGTTTGGTTGCTGCATTTGGGCAAATCTTAGGACAAGCTGAGACCGGTCTGGCTCCACCCACTACCAGTGACCCCTGCATGCCCTGACTACAACAAAGGCCCTTTCAGAACCTGTGTCCAAGTCCAGTGGGCAGCTTTGTCTTGCATCCCTCAGCCTGGAGGTTCTGTTTTCCAAAAATGGGGAAGGAGACTAAAATTGAACAGGTTGCAAGGGGAAATCTGTGAGCCACAGAATATTTCCAATCAAATTGGACCAGAGTATTTCCAGCAAAGGCCTGAGTTTAGAAATTCCTAGGGCTGGTTGGAAACTTTGAGGATAACCACAGCTGTCCTAACCCTCTTAGTAAGCACTAGTTGAGGTGCAAACCCTGAGGGGAAGGATAGGTTGGGTCAGAAACCCTTCTTTGTGCTAGGCCACCTTATGAAGGCTAGCAACTCCTTTTCATTCTAGATCACTGCTTGTTTGACACACAGATGTAACTACAATTAAGTGTTAAATCTCATATCTGTGGAAATTTTGGTAGTTTACTCTGATGGGTAAGAAAGACTGGCCAGAAAGCTCTTGGAAAAAAAGTCATTTGTCCTTCCTGCTGTTACCCACTAAGGATTTGCCACTAAGGGCAGGGAAGCACGGTCCAGCCCTATCCCAGAAAAAGACACACCAAAACAACTCCAGAGCTGTGCTTTTGCGGTCCTGTAGTGATCAGTAAGCTCAATGTATTTGCTTCACTTAGATCCTTTTTAAAATGACCTTGAGGAATGCGTTGTTGAACTTAAGCTAATGCTTCAAAAGGTGTGGTGGTGGGAGAATGGGATGTTCAAGTTTATTTCTAAGAAATGTGGAATACTGCAGTTTTGAATATTAAATCTGTTGCAACTATAAATCCCTCCGTCTCCATCCATTCAGAAACACAAAGCCAAAGGAGAATTTCTTGGAAAGAAATAAGGGATTTTCCTAGGTGATCAGCTGAAGAGGCAAGGCTCCCTCTGCCCTCTTTGAGGAAGTCATAGCAGCAGTTTCTGTTAATTACTGCTACTCTGGCTTTTAAAAAGTGACAGGACTTTTGTTTAGGACTTCGATGATTAGATGAATTAGACCTAGTTTCTAAAAAAAAATTTTTTTCCCATTCCAGTTAGTCTTTTAGTTCTAGATGCATGGACCGAACCCAAGATATAGCCTTGCCTACTTCTTACCACACCGTCCAGAACATAACTTCCTTCCTCCACTAAGAGCTTGGGGAACAAGGAGGCTAGTGCAGGCAGCTGTCAGGAGACAAGGCACAGGCAGAGCAAGGTGAACAGAGTTGTGTGGCACTGACCGCCACTGACAAACGAGTCCCAGAACCTGCCCCCACCCTAGCAGGGGGGTTTCTGATGACTCTAAGTTCTCTCATCTTTTACAGTTATAACTTTTAAAGGCACATTCAGAAATGTTGCAACTAGGGGCTAGGGTAAGCTGCACACAGTTGCTATACTGGGATTAAAAGGCTGCAAGACTTCATGGCACAGAAGGAAGGGGAGGCAGCCTACTGGACCAGCCTGCTTTGGTGTGGAGGCCTAGGAAGAGGCCAGCAACAGGAGACCAGGGCCGTGGTCAGTAATACACATACTTAACAGGTCTTTGGTGTTTGTTTAGCAGCATCCATCTCCCTTATGTACAAAGGCTTCTGCAGCCAGCAAAGCTGGGAAAAGTAAGTATGCTTCTGCACACAGCCGCTGGCCTGACTCCTCTCCCAATACTGACTGACTGAAGCACAGGCACAGAGCATAGAAAGTAGGAAGTAAGTCTCAATTGCAGTGAATATACAAATAGAGTTTAGAAAGGATTTCCTGAAAACAGTTAGACCTGGGAAGGTTTAACTCCCCTCCCAGGTTCTACTGAGGATCCTAAGCAACTAAGCCCAAGCCCTACCCAACAGTTTTGCCTCTTGACCATCCTCACAGATGAGAAATTCTTAGGCTTTCTCCCTAGATATGACTTGACCATTGGAAGTGTCCCTTTGGGGCCTGGGCAGAGAGCAGGGGCAGAGGTTCTAAGGGCTCAGAGAACTGCCCACCTCACAAGCCCCTAGGCTCCAGGACCAGCCAGTTCTCAGTGACCATCTGTATGTCCTGGCCACTCAGAGGCTCCCGCAGCCTCACCTTCACCTCCAGCTTGCCCCCAGTGGGCTTCCTTCCATCCAGGACCTGTAAGGACCACAAGAGGCAGATGGTAACTGATGGGGACAGGGGCTGGGAGCAAGTTACTCCCTATGCTCACAGGTAAAAAATAAGGAGCTAAAACAGCCTGCAGTATCAACATAGGAGTCTCCATTTCTTGATAACCCTGGTGGTGGTGGTTTTAGGTAAAGTAATATGTAAATCCAAATAAGCATCAATGCTCTGAGGTGGAGATGAGAAACTAGAGTTCTGCTCACTGTCTGGCAACTCCTGGAAGAAATGCTCTGGCTTAATGGTGCAGACTGAAAACCACTAAGCCCAGACCCTCACTTCACAGGTGGCCCAGAGAGAGGGTGTTATATTACACAGCCAGTGTGGCAAGGCCAGGACTAGAATCCAGGCCAAGGGTTCCTTTCTACCTACCATGCTGCCTCCCACTGCCTCCCTCCTGGGCAAGGAGGGAGCAGCTGGAGTGCAAAGCAGTGAGTGTTGTAAGCCCAATAAGTCTCACCACCAATGTGGCCAATACAGGCCCCACTTAAGAAAAACTCCCCAAGAAAGGTGGCAGAGGGGGAGGTAGGTGCACCATAGTGGGAAAAGCCTCACTTACAAAGGCATCAGCAAAGGTCTGGGCTGTGCTGTGCTGGGGACACACCCTTTTCCTCTCTGGACCTTAGTTTCCTCATCTGTCAGAGGCAAGCTCTTAGAGTCACTGCCTGTGAAAGGAGATGTCTGGGGCCAATTCCTTAACACAGACTAGCTTCATTGTGGTGGGTCTCTAATCTGAAATACCTTATCAACTTTATGTCCAGAGCTTGTTCCATTTAACAAGCTTCCAGACAATTGCCCCAACCATAATTCTGCCCCCCAAACCTAGGAGTTTATGTGCCAAGTTGACAGCACTGACCAGACCCCCAAAGGACCCTGTAATCAGGTGGTTCTCAACCTTCCTAATGCTGTGACCCTTTAATACAGTTCCTCATGTTGTGGTGACCCCCAAACATAAAAGTATTTTCGTTGCTACTTCATAACTGTAATTTTGCTACTGTTATGTCTTAGGCGACCCCTGTGAAAGGGTTGTTCAACCCCCCAAAGGGGTCGTGACCCACAGGTTGAGAACTGCTGCTGTAATCCATCATCCCTGGGAACTTGAACGGCTGAGTGTTGTGGAGAGTATAGCTACTTTCTGCCCTGGCTGGTTTGGCTCAGCAGTTTGAGTATCGGCCCATGGACCGAAGGATTGAGGGTTCAATTCCCAGTCAAGGGTATGTACCTGGGTTGTAGGTTTGATCCCCAGCCCCAGTCAGAGTTGTACAGTAGGCAGCCAATCAGTGTGTCTCTCTCACATGGATGTTTCTCTCTCACTCCCTCCCCCCTCCCCCCGCTTCCTTCCACTTTATCTAAAAATCAATAGAAAAATATCCTCAGGTGAGGATTAACACAAAGAAAGAGTATAGATTCTTTCTAAATGGATAATGCTATGAATTTTTGTCAGACCCTCTGAACCTCTTCATTTGTAAAATGGGAACAGTACCATTGTTCTGCGCACTTAGGGGTATTTTTTAATGGGTACCAGACTCCTATAGTAGGGACCGATGTTCAATGAATATTGGCTTTTCACTTGCCAAGTCCTCTGGTTTGCCCACCCTACCTCCATAATCTCTGGGTCCTACCTCCAAAATCTCTCTGATCTCACACTCATTTTCCAACCGCTCCAGTTTCAGGTGGGCTGTGCCGACCAGCTTGTCACTTCTGAAGAAGGATCTGGGGAGCCAAGTGTCAGGAGAGGATTGGACTGGGCAGGGAAAGCAGGAATGAGCTGGCTGAGTCCAGCACAACAAAAATGAGTAGTAGCAGGGACACCAGCAACAACAGAAGCCTTTTCTTCTTCCCAGTCCACCTTGGCAGTATGACTGAGGGACCTCACCCTTTGTGGAAGATTTCAAACTTGATTCCTTTGTTTTGGATCACCCTCCTGAAGCCCCGGTGGTTTCGGTTGATATTTAGTTTGAAGAGCTGATCAAATTCTGCAAGAGTGGGAAAAGAAGGCTTGGCTCCCAGGGATTTCCTGAGGAGATGGTAACAGGTCTAGGAGCTGGCCTCCCCTTTGGATCACTCTGCTTGCAATTGAGAGAGACTACCACCAGAAGGTGGTAGAGCATGTAGATCCTGGCCTTGAAAGTCCACTTGGACAGTTACTGTACTTTTTTTTTTAGTTCCTGTACTCTTATATAAGACACACATTATACTCAAGTGGGAGGCGCTTAAAATTTAGAGTCAGGATTCCTGGATCCAAGTTTCACTACCTCTGCTTGGAAGCCATAGGCAAGTCCCTTTACCTCTCTAAGCCTGTTTTCCCAGCTACGTGAGAGGAGTGGTAATAATACCTGCTTTTGTCTTCTAAGTTTAGTACCAAATAAGATACCAGATCTGGAAACACAGTGCTGGCATGCATCAGAATGAGAGGGAGGAGAAAGCAGCCTCACCTGGAGAGTTCGTGTTCTTCACCACAGCTGTTTTGCTTTTTTGAGCCTGGTCCTAAAGCGGTAAGAAGGGAGAAATTGGGACAGCTTGAAAAAACAGGTCTATAGGGCCTGGAACTCTGGGCTGTCAGTGTGGAGGGAAGGGAAGCCTATTGGGAAGGGGCCTAGGGTCTTCAAACTCCTCCCTATAGCCAGACCTCCCAGAGATGGGGAGAAATTGAGCACAGGTCTATAACAGAAGGTGGGATTCTGAGGATCCTACCTATACCTGAATCTCACCGAGTTAGGGTAGTGGAACTCAAACCTCACAAAAGCATCCAAGTCATCAGGGGTCACCCCTAAAAAGGAGAAATGGGAGTCAGGATGAGAGGGAGTAGCCAGGGGCCCAGCACTTGAAGTGGAGAGGAACAAGTGCCTCCCCACTGGCTGGAGGTGGAGTGTCTAGGCAAGAGCCTCCTGGAGTAGGGGTGGCCCTAGGGTTACCTGGAGGGGCTGGGAGGTTCATTCCCCGGACAATGATGAGATGCATTTCTGTGCTGTTGAGTTCTGAGAAGATCCTATAGCCAGGAAGCAAGGAGAAAGAGCCCAAAGTATAGGTGTGCAATGGGAAAGGGTCCCTTCTTCCAGGGACTGCCTGCCTGCTGGGTGGTGGTCAGGAGTAGAGCGGGAGGCAAAGCTTCTCTGTCTAGGAGCAGCAGAGCTGGTACAAAGACCTCAGTCCAGAGCTCCTTCCCCAGCCACCCACAGCTCTGAGCTCCTCATAGGTAGGTACCAGGTCCTACCTCCCACACTCCCAGGCCCAGTGCCTATGGCAGGACCAAGTCTGGGAATTCTTACTAAAGGGGCCTAAATCTCCATCCTTGGCTCCCAGCCTCTTAGCCCAACCCTGCATGGAGGCATTGTCTCCCTTAGGCTTTGGTACCTCACAGTCTGGAATGTCTTCAACTCAAAGTGGTGGCCAGGAGGGTCAAGGCCCTGGGCCTGGGCCAGCTGCAGGATCTCAAGCTGCTTCTTGCGGTCTTGAGCAAGCTTCTCAAACCTGACAGGGACGGGTGCACACATCAGCACGACAGGGCTCATTTTCTGTTCCCTACCCCACATGTCCCAGCCCTGCATTTACCGGGTAGTCTCAGCCACATTGCCCTGGTGCATGAACTGCTTGGAGAACAGCAGACACTTCTGAAAATAGAGGCCCAGAGTGGGTCTAGGTTGGCTGTAGAGGTTTGACTTCTGAAAGATCCAACCTTCTCCCCCAAGGTCCCTATTCCCAAGTCCCTAAGTTTTTGCTTTTTTTCTTTCCTGCTGACAGCCATTCCCAAAATTCACTTAACAAACTCCTATTGTTCCTTCAAAACCTAACAGAAACATCACTTCAGAAAGCAGATTTGCAGACAGCAATTCAAATTGATACATAAAAATGTACATATATGTATGCATTTTTCTATATACATATATATGGGTCCCCTAACACTTCCCCCAATCTTCAAAGTACTTTCCTCTCCAGTCTGTTGTCTGAACTTTATAACCACCCTGGGATATTAATCATTCCATTTTACAGATGAAAATGTGGTTCAGAGAGGGAAAGCATCTTGCACAAAACCAAACAGTAAGTGGAAGAGCTAGAATTTGAATCCAGGCCTATCTGGTCTGAGCCACATGCCTTTCCTCAAAGGGAGGCTGGGGGCACTGAAGGGAGGAGAGACAAGCAGTCAACTGACCTCATGTTGTTCCAGAAGCATTTTTTGTAGGTGGACATACACCTCCTCAGCCTTCTGGGAGAGTCGCAGGTCTTCATGGTGAATGAGGATGAAGTCACCCTCTTCATCCGTCAAGGGTGAAGGCACCTGCCCAGGTCACAAGGCCCCTCAGGGGCCCCAGAAGTCAGATTATCCCTCCACTCTACTGAGCCTAATAAACACAGGAGTCTGAATTGAATGTTTCTCCAACCTCTGACCACCAGCGATGGGAACTCATTGCCTCCTATTCTATTCCAGGCTGCGGCAACACTCTGCCTCCCACTGGCCTTGCCCTGCCTTGTCATCTCTGAATACAGGCAGCCCACTTGGCCTTTCCCAGCCTCTCTTGGGGCCAGGAGGTAGAGAAAGGCATGAGCAAAAGGCTCTTTTCCAGCGGTCACCACATCCTATCTAAGTCCTACCTCTCAGGTTGGCCTGAAGACCTCTCAGGGAAAGTATGACTGATGGCAATGGAGAGTGGCATCCAAGCAGCTACCTTGTTCACAGCTCTGCTGTCAAGCATGCCACCCATCTCTTCTGCCTGAGAAGTCCTGCTTAACCAGGTGGGGCTCACCTTGGAAAGGTCCACAGGTTGGCCAGCTCGGATCTGGACGATCTGAGCCTCAAGACATTTGGCCAGCCGCAGATGGGCTTTGGCTTGTTCCAGGTCCTGGCCACGCTTGGCCTGCAGGGCTGCCCGCTGGTACTGCAATTTGCGGGCCTCTAGCAGTGCCAGCTGCTCCCGTACTGAAGGGAGAGCGACCATGGTTAGAGCCATGCCTGCCCCTCCTTAAAACCTTCAGTCCTCAACCCCTCTTCTCCCCAACTCACCAGAGGGACTCAGTGACTCCTTAGAACTCGAGGCCTTGGGCTCAGGCAGGGGCCGGGAGGAAGGTACCAGAGGCTTCTTGGATACTGGGGCCTGGGCTGGAGGCTCATCCTGCAGTGCCCAGGAGGATGTCACAGGGGATCTGTTCCCCACCCGGCTGTGGCAGCTCCCAGACGTGGACTCTCTTATAAACACTGCACTAACTTGCTGTGTGAGCTAAAATGAACAGCCTCCCCTTGTGGGCCCTAGAAAATCTCTGAAGCTGAGCTAACCTTCCCAACAGCAGACAGCAGGCATGAGCTCTGGAGTCAGAAAGACCTCCATTTAAATGTAGCTCTGCTAATGCCTATCTGGGTGCCCTTGGCCAAATTTTTTCTTTGCAAAATGGAAGAAAGAATAACTACTTCACTGGGCTTAGTATGGACAACAGGGTCTGGGTTTACCCCTCATCTACCATTTCCCCCTACCAACCCCTGGAGTCTTGGGCCCTCAGCCAAACCTCATCCTCACCCCATCTTCCTCTGCTGCGGCTATTTCCTCAGAGGCCAGTTTCTGGGCAGCTGCTAAAGTAGCTGCTACCGCATCCTCCTCAGTGCCCGTGGTGGGCTCCAGACCAGGGATGGGGGGGAATCCTGTGGGAGAGAGAGCTGGGTGAGGGATAAGGTGGGCTCAGGGAAGCACTGGGCTGCTGTGGGCCTCAGCTGCGTCTTCCTGGGCACGGCTGGAAGCCCAGAGCAGAGGCAACTATGTGAGGAATCATTTTCCCTCTCCCCCTCAGAGACCTCATAAAGACCCTAGGCCAAGCACCACTTACCTGGAGGAACGGGCAACTCGGAAAAATCAACTTTGCGTCCTGCTCGGTGCGCTCGAATGGCATCTTGATATTGCTGCAAGGGAAGAAAGGGAGGGACCTATGGCGGGCAGCAGTCTACAGGCTCCACACAGGGAGAGACAGGAAGAGGAAGACAGAGAAACACCAGCCCCAAGAGGAAAAAGAGCCCCCAAGGCAGCAAGAGCTCGAGAGAGACAGAGACTCAAACACCAGGGCTAGCAGCAAGGGCAGAAAGAGAGCAGCGAGAGAGAGAGGCTGACACATGCAGGGGGTTTCATGTCTGCGGGCCCACCTTGGCAATGCGCTCATGCATCCGGGCCTTTCGCTCATCCCCACTGCTCCGGGCCTGGATGCCTGCCTCACGGTACTTGTTCAGCCGCTGCTGCAGGGCGTCCAGCACTGTCTGTGGCTCAATATGGGCCACTTGAGAGGAGGAAGGAGACAGCATCAGCTCTGCCTACTCTCCTCAGGTCCCCATTCTAAGTCCCACCATCCTGTCCTACCTGGGGTTCCTGGGGTGTCAGAGGCCATCACTGGCTGCACTCGCTCCACTGCCGAGGGTATGACTGTGGGTGCTGTGAGGGCCTTGGAAGCCTGTGGGAGGGGCTTCAGGTCTGGGGGACCCAGAGCAGAAGTGTAGGTGGGGGATGCCTGACCTGTCCCAGCCTGAGCAGGTTCCCCCCACCATCCCCATACTGACCCTCAGGTGCTGGAGGCATGGCACTCAGGTCCACAGGCTGCCCCTTCTCCAGGGCCTCCAGGACGGCCCCAAATCTCTACAGTAGTAAGAAAAGCAGGTGTGGGCACAGACCAGGGAGCCCCAAGAGCTGTAGCTGAAAAAAGTCCTCGTGGAGCCAGTCTCACTCAAGCCCAGTCTTGCTGTGTGACCTTTAACAAACCACTGCCCCAACTGTGAAACAAGGGGTTGGACATGGCCCCTGAGCCAGATGTCATACCTTCCCAATCCTCATGAGCTCTCGGGCTTGGTCTAGGTCTCCGGCCCGCTTGGCATTCAGGGCAGCCACTTTGTAATCTCTCTGTCGGGCCAACAACAGGGCCCGTGGGTCTGGGTCTGAATCAGGTGGGGCAGAAATGCCAGGGCTACTCAAGAGGCTTGTCTTAGGCTGGGAAGGGTTGTCTATGGAAAAACAAAAAGCCCAGAGAGGGCATCAGGGTCAAAGAAAAAGGTGCAGGCCTTCAGTTCCCAACATCCACAGGAAGGGTGTGACTAATGGCAATGGACAGTGGCAGATGTAGAAACAGAACATAGGCCCTGACCCTGGGAACTAAAACAGGATTTGAGTGTCTCCAGATACCTGGCAATAGGGTAGGGGGAACAAGGGTGTCCGCCTCAGGGCTCCTGATGGTTGTTTCCTGGGGGGCCAGGGACTTCTTGCCCAAGGCCACTGGAGGTGGAATCTCATCCTCATTGATCTTCCTGCCTTTCCTCACAGCAGCTAGCTGGGACTCTAGAGTCTGAGGGAGAAAACCAGAAACCCAGCCAGCCATATCAGCCTGGGCCCTGCTTAAAGACAGGTGAGGGATCCTTCACCTCCGCCAGGCCGGTGGGGAGGCCTCCTTCCGCTGGCCCAACCTCCTGCTGCCTTACCTGCTGCCTTACCCGCTGCCCTCAGCCCCACTCCTCCCAGCCCTGCTCCCGGCTGGGCCCAACCTACCTTTAGGCCTCGCTCACAGCGCCTGGTTTTGGCTGCTTCACCTGCCTCCTTGGCGCTGGCTGCAGCCTCCCGGTAATTGTGGATCCGATCTTGCAGCAGAGCCTGCAGCTCCTGAGGCCCTCCAGCCTACAGATACTCCAGTTTAGGGACTGGCCAGCTAGGCCCTTGCTGCTCCCTCCCTGCAAGGAAGCTGACCCAGAAAATGGAGCTCTTGGATTTAAGAAGGACAAGCCTAAAAGCCTCAAAGAGGAGGCAACGAATTATTGGAGAGGCCAGAGGCCATATGAGAGGCAAACACAGAGGCACAGACAATCTGTGGACGGCTGCAGGGGGTGGTCTTGGAGAACAGAGAGGCCTTTGAGGCCAGCCAGGCACCAAAGAGTTTCTCATGCTCAGTCACTGCTTAAGCAGCGGCACTGCTGGAGAACACTAGAAAGGGTACTGCAGCCTTCCTATGTAAGCCACGTTGTATGCACGTTATACATGGACACCCGGGGGTAGCAGAGGCACAAGGGATCTCTTCAGAACCTACCTGAGCTGCTGGGACTGAAGCTGTTACAACAGCTGTCTGCACTGGAGGTTCAATGTTTTCCTGTCTCTTCTCCTCCTCAGAACTACCCAGGACGGCTGTCTCATCACAATCCAGGTCCCCAGCTTCCCTATCTGCACCCAGGACTTCTTGCAGCTCAGTCTGGGGAGACACAAGTCCCGGGAACTTCTTTTTTTTTTAATCCTCGCCCGAGGACACTTTTTGTTCAGGTAGAGTGGGAGGAAGAGAGAGGAAAAGAGACAGAGAGAAATATCGACGTGAAAGGGACACAAGTGGCTGCCACCCGCACGACCAGCCAGGGCCAGGGACAAACTGCAACCGAGGTACGTGCCCTTAGCAGGAACCAAACCCGGGTCTCTCTGGACCGCAGGCCGACGCTCTAACCGCTGCGCCAAACCAGCCAGGGCTCGGGAACTTCTTAGAAGCCTCATGGCCATACCTATGATAGGATCTGAAAATAAAGGACCCCCTCACCCAGCAGTACTTCTCAGCATCAGTCATTGTGCCTGAAAGTCCCCTTTAGCAAAAGTCCCCTTAATCTGACTGAAAATAGCCTTGAAGACAATGAGACCACAAATCTGAGAATTCCCAAGTACAGAGTCCAGACCAGACATCAAAGGAAACTAGTCTCACACTGTACAGTCAGGAAACAGGCCCAAGAAGGGTATGGTAGTCATTCCACATCAGAGTACAGAGAGGGACAAACCCAAGGCCGCCTCTGCAGGTTTGACCACAGAGCTCTCGGACACCAGCCTGGCAGACGCACCAGCAAGTCTGTATCCTCCTCCAGCCCTTCTTCCTCCTCCTCTTCATCCACATCCCGCATACAGTCTGCCGCCAACTTCTCGATGTGGGCCATAGGTAAGGGGGCTGAGGGAACAGAGGGTCAGGGCCTCAGAAAAGGCCCATGAAGAGTCAAGGAAAACCTCCAGTGCACTGTACCGTTCTATACCCGGCAGACTGCCTGCCCTTCCACAGCCAAAGTCCCACCTGTAAAACTCCTGTTCTTCCATTATGACCCAGCTCAAAAAAACCCTTAGAAGGAAAACCTTCCTGGACCCTCTAAAAGGCAGCAAGTTGCTCCCTTGGCATTTTTGCTATAGTTCTTCATAGATATATTCATCCATTCCTCCTAACTACACCTTTCACATATGTAAAGACTTTTAACATCCATTTGAGCTTCACAACAATTCTGCAAGGTAGGCCACATTATCCCCATTTTACATGAGTAAGCTGAACACTACTATTAATTTTCCTAATGTTGCAATCCTATTAAGTGGCAGAGCCAAGATTCAAACCCAGGCTCATCTAACTCCAAAGATTTAGACTACAAGAAAATGGAAGGCTATGGCTTTTCTATTTTCCTCAGCTCGGGAGTACAGGGATTGGAAGGAAGTTCTCTCTGAGGGTTCCTGACATGAAGAGAGGAAGATTTAGATCCTCTGATCCTCCCAGACTTCAGGTCTCTGTCCTCTTCCAGGCTAGGGAGGAAGATTCCACTTATTCATTCATTGGACACAACTTCTATGCACTTATTTGTGCCCAATTCAGTCTGTGCTGAGCTGCTACTCATTACTCTATACCAGGCCCCGGTAAAGGCTAAGGACAGGGGCCTGAATCAGTCAGAGAATCAGATTATTGACTGTCCGCAATGAAGTGGGGGCAGTCCAGGGAAGGAGTGAGCGCCCCATCACACAGGTGTGTGAGCAGGGCAAGATGGCCTCTTGGTGGGAGTGCTGCAGAAGGGGCATGGATATCAGAAGGACCAAGTGATTTGGCTGGATTCTCACAGCTATGAGAAGAGGAGACCCTCTCCATCACCTGCCTGAGCCCATCTGGTACCAGCACCAAGTTCAGCCCAGCACCGAAAACTTACCCTGTCCCTTGGGTGCTGGCTTCCTGCCTGTGATCCCTGCTTCCCCAGTGAGGGCCAACAGCTCAGCCTCCAGGTCCCCATCATCTTCAGTCTCCTCCATCCCCAGCAGCATGTCCTCAGGGTTGAACTCCACAAAGAGCCCCAGCTGAAAGCAGAGATTTCTTAGGAACCACACAATGAGGTACAGGGTGTAGTCCAGCCCTAGAGCCAGTCTCCTGAAGATTAGTGGCTCCTTCACTGTCTGAGGCCCAGTGTGCAGAAAGGGAAACTGAGGCCTGCAATATTACCCTTGGGATACTCCCTGGTGACTCTATAAAGGATCCAATAAGACTACAATGCCATTATTATTACAACATGATTATTTTAGTTAATTCTCACAATGCTGAGGGGTAGGTCCTATTTTTTTAATTATAAAACACACGTAACAGGGAAATTCTCATCTTAACCATTTTCAAGTGTAGAGTTCAGTGGCATTAAGTACATTACACTAGTGTGCCACTATTACCACTATCCATCCACAGAACTCTTTCATCTTGCAAAACTGAAACTCTGTACCCACTCAACAATATAACTAGTAACTCCCCATCCCTCCAGTCAGCCAGGCAGATAACCACATTTTACTTTCTGTCTATGAATTTGACTACTCTAAATAAAAGTAGACCCTTTATATCTCCATGTTCAGATGGTAATGAGACAAGTGGCAGAGCTTGAATTTTAAAATAAGGCCATGTGACTTGAGTCTATGCCCTTTATCCTACCACCTCTCTTACCTGCCTCTTTTAAGACAATAAAAATGGACTAAGAAGTTTCAGGATTTGGGCCCAGAATAAATAAATAGAGAAGATTAGAAAACAGATCCCAAAGCTGCAAAGCTCTTCCAGCTGGACTCAGTGCTCAAGCCCTGGCACCCGTGGCTGGCAAGCAGAGTTGTGGCCCTAAATGAGGAACCCATGAGAGTGCTGAGACCCTATCAGCACACCCTAAACTTTGACAGTTCCTGAATCCTCCAGATCACTTGTTTGGAGGTGGCCATGACAGAAGGATGCCTGTTTTGAAACAAAGGAGAGTTCAGGCCTCATCTCCCGTGTGTGTGTGTGTGTGTGTGTGTGTGTGTGTGTGTGTGGCAGGGGCCCGTCAGAGTGTCTCTAAAGGCTCTGCCAACTCTAGGAGGCACTGCTCCAAGTCTCTGCACTATGGGGATACCGTACAAGTGGCCCAGTTTGTCGACGCTATTTAGGAACACCCCCCCAAACCCCACCCTGGTTCAAGGGTGAAGAAGTCTATACATACCTGCTTGGCAGCTGCCACACCCTGACCAATGGCCTGAGGGCCCTTCCGAGGTTTTGGTCCTGGCATCTTGGCAGCCTAGATACCTGTCTGATGGGAATGAAAGAGACTCAGACTGGAACAACCTATAAGCCCCTTCCCCAACAGTGCTACCTTAGTAAGGTGTGCTTAGTAAACTTTCCACTCAGAGAAAAAAGGCAATGCTTAAGACCAAAGGATGAAATAGTAACACTGGAGTATAGCACTGAAGCAAGCAACATGGGCAATAGAAGGGATGAGGACTACCTGTTAATGCGCTTAAGTGAGGAGTGTGGATGCACAATAAAAAGTTAGTGAACCGATTGACAAATGTGGATTAAACCCAAGAGGTTGAGTGTGGAGGAGCCTAGGAAAACAGATTAAGGGAAGTAACTCTAGAGAAGGGGTGGCGGGGTACAAGGCTGGGTACAAGAAAGGTTCTAAAGCTGTGCTGTCAAATATGGTAGCCGTATGTGGTGGCTATTTACATTTTAATTAATTAAAATGTAAATATCCCGTTGTCATTGGTTACCATTGACCAGCACAAATACTAAACAGTTTCATCACCACAAAAATTTCTATCGGACAGTTCTGCTCCAGAGAAACCTGACTCAGCATTCTGATTCAGCGATGTAACAACCATTCATGGAACCTACTATGTGTCAGAGACCCTGTGCTGGGCACTGGGAGAACAGGGATGAACCTGACATGTTCTCAACCCTCACATTTACATGGTGGAGAGGCCTTAACAGTGGACAAAAAGCACAGGGGGCTGCTCCAGGGGTCGCCAGTGCCCAGTGCAGCCCCTTAGCTAGCACATGGAGAAAAGGCTTCTTGGATCTCTGAAGCTAAGCAAGGTCCGGCCTGGTTAGTACTTGGGAGAAAAGGCTTCTTGGAGAAGATGCCTGTGCTGAGTCATGTAGAAGTTAGGAAAAAGGATTCCAAACAGAGGGAACAACTTGATAAGTTTTGAGGTGAGATGTAGTTTGACCTGCACAAGCAAACTAAAGACCAGGGATTACTGGGGCATAAAGTGTGAGACAGGAAATGGTACAAGTGAAGCTGAAAATGTGAGCAAGGGGCAATACAAAAAAAATCTTTAAACTCTGAAGGAATTTGGGCATTATCCGCAGGGCAGTGGACATGACGGGATCAGGTCGGCGACTCAGAAACATCCTCAGAAGGGAAGGGGACAGGACGGGGAGTGGAGGCTGGAAGCCGACCCCGTCTAGCAACGGTCCGGCAAAAGGGGCGAGCTGTGGCGGCCGCGGGCGGCCAGAAGTGGAGGGCGCAGTTAGGGGGTACAATCAGCTGGGCTCCAATGTTAGCTGGACTGGGGCGCACGGGAGGGGGCGCTCATGGCGACTTCAGGAGTCAGACTTCAGAGCTTGGCTGCATGGCGGGCGGTCACCTGAGCGGGGGCACCGAGTGAGCGGGCTCAAGGAAAAGACGAGGTCAGTCGGGCATGCCAAGCCTGTGGGTCTGGGGCACCAGAACGGGGACATCAGTGCTGGACCCAGGCCCGTGTGCGCGGGAGAGGCGAGGCCGGGGGACCCCATCCCTCGCGGCAGGACGCGCCTCCTGGCCCCGCCCCAGCCGACTCCATCTCCCCCGCCGTCCCCAGGTCACCCCTCGCCGAGGGCGGGTACGCGGCATACCTCGCGGCGAATCGGGAACCAACCCGGGCCTTCTCTCACCCCGCACCGCCCGGGGCTCCCGCGGCCACCGGGCGGCGGCGGCGGCAGCAGTAGTGACAGGAAGCTCCCCCACGGAGACCGCTCAGGCCCTAACACGTGACTCCACGCCCTTGCGGCGTGCACTACGCATGCGCAGGCAAAGCGGGTGTGGCGCCCCAACAGGTGACTCCAAGGGTGGAGTTCTGAGCGCGCAGGCAGCGCAAGGCTCGTTTTGCAGGGTGGTGCCGGGGTGTCCACCGGCTTGAGCAAATTCAGTCGGTGCGTCACCAGCCCTTGCCCAATTACAACTTCCCCGCCAAGTTTCCTCCTTCCCAGCCTCCGGCTCCTGGGCGCACGCTCGCTTCACGTCCTCGCTCCGCCCCTGTCGGCGTGGGGGCGGGACTGGCGCAGACCGCATAGTAGAGCAGGGCTTCTTTGCCTCCCACCTTAGTCAAGTGTGCCTTATGTGTATCCAGGAAAATGGAGATGGGGCTCAACATATTTTTAATCATTTAGTAACTGAATATATCTTTTCCAATCGGAAGGTGGGTTAAATATTTAAGATATGATAGACAGTGGGTGCTCACTGCACCTCTCTTCATGAAGTCACTTCAGATAGTTTAACACCAAGTTCTTACTCCCCCCCCTGCCCTGCAGGGCAATGAAATGGGGGATGGCAAGGGACATTAAAGAGAATCTTCCATCTAAAACAAACCTTGCAACTTACTCCTGTCTCTTCAGTTAAGTAATTATGTTTTTTGTTAGCAAACTGGAAGAATCTTCGTTTTCTTGGACAAAAGAGCTTTTCCAGTCTCCTATTGCTTTTCGGTGGTTGCCCAGACTGAACTTAGCATTGTAAAATTGAAGTTTCACTGCCATTATTTTCTCATTAAATATGAGAAATTCAATATATACCCAAAGATATACAATATTTCAGTTTGCTAGAATGCAAACTCCACTGTTCTCTAAGTTACCACCAGTGGCTAAAGCAATGCATGGCATATACTAGGCACTCAAAAAATAGTTCCTGTTTCTGGTGTGAATTAACATAAGCACCAACCACAAGTTTAAGTACAGTACAATAATGCAGTTGAAGCTATCTATACACCTATCATGATGCAAGTCTTCCCTAAAGAATTACCCACTCTCCTGAGTTTATTCTTCTTGAGTATTTCTATTTCTACTATTTATGTATATGCCCTTAAATAATCCATATTTTTTGCAAGCTTTAACATTGTATCATTGATATCATAGCATATATTCCAACTTCTTTGTTGGCTCAATCCTATTTGTAAACTTCATCCACGTTGATACCATTTACCTAGTTATTTTTCATTTCTGTATGGTATTCCATAGCATAAAAATAATTCACTTTTCCAATGTCTTACCATTATAGTACTATGAACATCCTTGTATACAACTCCTAGGGTACACGTTTTTCTAGGGTATATACCTAGAACTGGAATTGCTAACTCATAGGATTTCTGCATTTTCCAGACTACAAAACCAAAGTATCTACAAAGTATTTGTTCCAGTTTACACTCCCATCAGTGAGGCATTTGGGTTCCAATTGTTTCATATCATCATTGAAAGGTTATCTAATAGATGTGAAAGGGTTTTGACTTGCAGGCCACTTTTACTTTTTCCATTTTGCTGGTCACTGTGTTTCTTCTTCTGTGGGTGACTTACTTTCCCATTTTTACTTTTAAAAAAAATATGTTACTGAGTTTTTTAGAGAGGAAGGGAGACAGAAATATCGATGTGAGAGAGAAACATCAATGGGCTGCCTCCTGCACACCCCCTACTGGGGATCTAGCCACAAGGCGGGAATATGCCCTGACTGGGAATTGAACTGGGACCTCAGTCCATGGGATGACGCTCAGTCCATTGAGCCACACTGGTCGGGCAACCATTTTCACTTTTTAAAAATTGTTTAATTCTTTAAAATACTCTGATAACTGATCCTCAGTCCATTATATGCAGTTATAAATGTGTATATACATACCTGTGCATTTTTTCCTGAACTATGAGAATTTCAGACATTTCATCATGATTCTAAGAACTAAGACATTCTCCTACACAATTTATCACTCACAAGATTTAACATTTACATAATGCTATTATTATGATTGTGTCCATAGGAGATGTCCACAATATATATAATTATTTGTATCTCTTAAATATACAACCCAATCAAGATTCATAGCACAGTTAGCTCTCATTTCTCTATTTCCTTTAGTTTAGAATAGTTCCTTCATTTTGTTTTTGTCTTTTGTGGTATTGACACTTTTTAAAAAATTTTTATTTTAGTTTATATTTTTTTGGTACATGCCCCTAGTGGTAACCGAACCCGGAACTCTCTGGTCCACAGGCCAATCTCTAACCTCTGAGCCAAACCGGCCAGGACTGTGGTATTGACATTTTTGAAAAAGAACAGCTGCTTTGTGGAATATTTTCCTCTCAATTTTGATTTACCTCATAATTTTTTCATCAACAGATTCAGGTCAAACGTTTCTGGCAGGACTATTATTACACAGGTGTGTGTTTCCCACGAGGAGGCTTCAGATGACAGTTTATCCCATTGTTGGCTTCCATATAAACATTAGAATTAATTTGCAAAGTTATACAAAAAAAATCTGCCAAGATTTTTATTGGAAGTGATTTCTATTCAGAAATTACAGCTCTTTATTAACTTTATTCCTAGGTTCCTAATATTTTCTGTACCAACTTTTTGTCTTTTTCATTTAAAGATTTGTTCTTTTGATATATGGCATTTTTATTCATTCATTCATTCATTCATTTTTTGGTATGTGCCCCTAGCGGGAACCGAACCCAGGACTCTCTGGTCCGCAGGCCGATGCTCCAACCGCTGAGCCAAACTGGCCAGGGCTTATTTATTTATTTATTTGGTTAGTTAGTTAGTTAATCCTCATCCACGAATAGTTTTTGATTGATTTTTAGAGTGCGGAAAGGGGGGAGGAAAGAGAGAATCACTGATGTGAGAGAGACACATCAATTGATTGCCTCCCACACAACCCCAACAGGGGCTGGGGACTGAACTGGAGACGCTTCAGTCTGCAGGCCTACACTCTAACCACTGAACCAAACCAGCCAGGGCTATACGGTACCTTTGTAAAATTTACATTTTCTAGCTATTTGTTGCTAGGGATTCCTTATTACTGATATTTCCAGCATTTCTTTTTTATAAACTAAGCTTGTTTTAGTCACATCATTCAAAAGTGAAAAGATACATAATGATATACAGTGAAAGTCTTCTTCTAACTCCTAATCGTTGCCATCCATTTCTTTCCCAGAGGCAACCAGTATAACCAGTTTCTTACATATTCTCCCCAAAGTATTTTATATCAATATAAGTTATTGTATGCTTTATATACATGATATGTTACCATTAAATAAATGGTGGGGCCCTGGCTGGTTTTCTCAGTGGTTAGAGCATTGGCCCTTGGACCAAAGAGTTGTGGGTTCAATTCCAAGTCAAGGGCACATAGCTCAGTTGCAGGTTCAATCCCCAGCTCAGTCTGGGTTGTGCAGGAGGCAACCAACTGATGTGTCTCTCTCACATAGATGTTTCTCTTCCTCTCCCTCCCTCCCACTCTATCTAAAAGAGAAGTAAGTAAATAAATAAATGGTGGGGCTATTAACAGAAATAAAAGTCAGAGGAAGGGCCTATTTGGTTTTATAATCTGATATTTGTAATGACCACACATTTCCCAAAGGCTGGAAAAACAAATTGTTTAATAGAAAATTCCAAACCACATGGTAGCCATTTCCTTTCAGTATACTTTGACAAAACAATTCCATGTGCTTAGAAAAAGAAATTGGACTCTTTAAAAACAGCAGCTCACAGTCCCCCCTTGGTAAGTTCTTCACTCTTCTTTCAGGGCATACAGCACATCACCCTGGCTAATGTTGAGTCGCACACGAAGGAGCATGTCATTCCTGCTGGGCTCCACAAGGAGCAGGCGGCAGGAGCCCAGGTGAGAGCACACTGCCATGGTCTCTGACATGGTGGGGTATGGGAGTCCCTCCATCCTGCACAGTTCCACGTGTTGCCTGTATACCTAGAAACAAAAAGGAAATCCGCAGTCAGCTGCCAGAAAGGTTAAGGGAGGAAAGGTAGTCCTGGGTTTGTATCTGATGATTTATTTCTTCTTTTAGGGAAATCCAACACTTTGTGGCCAGGATACTTAACACCCTGGGAAGTATCAAAGGTTGCCCCAATGGGACACAAATGAAAGGCAGAATACTGACTTCAGAACCAGAGGATAGCAGGTCTGAATCCTGGTTCTAGCAAATACCTAAATAAGAGACCCTGGGCAAGTTATCTCACTTTTTGAACTTCAGTTTTATTTATTAAATGTATTATAATATCTCTTGAGTTAATGGATATAAAGTATCTACTACCGAAATTGTTATACAAAAAGTGCTGGTATCCAGGGGCTGAGATCCACAACTGAGGTTGTCATAATTCAAGTCAAATTTTGCTATAAGACATTTTCCTTAGCAGACACAGTGTACATGCCCAGGCATGACCCTTGGAAAAGCAGAGGCACAGACACAATACTGAATAAATAGAGGCAGGAGGGTAGACAGAAACGTAGATACCTATCCTAAAGCCCCAAGTGGGTCAGGTAAGTCTACAGTAGTTTCTGGGCACTCTCTCTTCTAACTATGTCTATCCCTACCCCCAACCCCACCCATACAGGGAGCTTGTCAGGAGCAAGGATATTAACCAATTGAGATTGGGGGTCCTGGTTCACAACACAGTTAAGGACACATTATAGAGGTTCAGAAAATGTTTACAAACTAAAATGAAAATCACTCTCTGTAGAAGAGCTGCTTGAGGTTGTAGAAAAAAAATAATGGGCACCCAACCAGTGTGGCTCAGTGGACTGAGAAGCCCTAGTCAGTTCGATTCCCAGTCAGGGCACATGCCTGGGTTGCGGGCTCAATCCCCAGTAGGAGATGTACAGGAGGCAACCGATCAATGTTTATCTTTCTCATTGATGTATCCATCTCTCCATTGCTCTCTAAAAAAATCAATAAAAACATATTTAAAAAAAACAAACTTTAAAGTGGTACAATTTTCTATATGTCTAAAACATACTCATATACAGACATACATATTCCCAAGTACACGCTCACAGACCTTTAACAATTCATCTTCTAAGGGAGCCCATTGCCTATGGACACCAGTTGTAAATAAACCACTAAGGCATAAAGCCCTCATGCTTCCTTTTATTCATTCATTCTTTTTTTTTTTTTTTTTTGTGGTACGTGCCCTTATCAGGAACCGAACCTGGGGCTCTCTGGCCTGCAGGCCAATGCTCAACCGCTGAGCCAAACTGGCCAGGGCTACTCAACATAATTTAAACTATGCTCAAAGAATGTTTGGATTGATCTTTGTGATTTTAAACATGGCTCATTCTGAAAGCCTTGCCCCCACTACACCAAATAAAGTTGTATCAGGACAGTGACTTTTGTTCATATTTGAAACCAGTTGCTAAAGGTCTCTTTTTATGCAACTCAATAAAATATCACATAAAAATAGGTGCTGGCGCTGGGCCGGTGTGGTTCAGTAGATTGAGTATCGTCCTATGGACTGAGAAGCCCCAGTTTGATTCCCAGTCAGGGCACATGCCTGAATTTCAGACTCGATCCCCAGTAGGGGGTGTGCAAGAGGCAGCTGATCAATGTATCTCTGTTGCTCTCTCTTCCTCTCAAAAAATTAGTAAAAACATATTAAAAAAAAAAAAGGTGCTGGTTTGATATTCTTTAGCATTATCAGGATGTCACAAAATACAGACAGACTGTTACACAGTGATTGAAACTCACACATATTTTAAAGGCACCAGGCCAAAATCTAGAAGATTTGAAGAAAAGGAGGTTGATCACCTGTTGAAATGTTGCTTCCTCCAGTCCTGATCGACGGAACTCTGCAAGGATCGCTCTCAGGAAGCTCTGTTCCATAATAGAGGAATTTCTTAAAGAAAATGAAGATGTGGATTCTCAGTAAGTGGTTGCACCAGCACTGACAGGAATGCCAAATAAAGCCTTTCTGCATCTTTAGAGACAGGAAAATACTGGGGACTACTTCCTCCTATATTACTCGGTAAGGGTCCCTCTACCCTCCCAAAGTCTTAAAATGATATAATAAATGCCACTTTAGAAGGGAACACAGCAACTACATCTAGAAAGATTAAAGAACCCCCATTCCATGAGCTGAGTATATCAGTGTGAGACAACTAGCCTTTTTCTTGTTCCCACAGCACTTTATTAAACACCTACAGTGCAACACAATTCATAGAAAGTCTCCTATTACATACTAGGTTTACATTCCTGACCATGCCCCGTAAGAAAAAGGGCAGTATCTTCAGTAAATACACACTGAATGAGCAAAGGCTTTGAAAGGGAAACATGCTTCCATGGCCTTCCCAGACTATGGCCCTCTCCAGTGGTTTTCCAAAGAGAGTTCAAGGTCAGGAAGCAGAAGCATCTTACTTGATAGCAGTGATGTATGATGATGAAAACATCTCATCTACTGCTTGCAGTAAGTGGGCTACAGTGACCAGGCCAGGGGAGCCAGGCTTCTGGCAGGAGAATTCACAGATCTCGGTGGCACGCCTACAGATGTCCAGGCAGCGTCGTGCATCTCCAGAGAGGGCTGCTACCTACAAGAGGGATCATTTTCTTCCTTAAGGTCCCCTTGCCATATCAGCCCAAGAGAAAAAACAACAGATTCTGTATTCAGCTAAAAAACAAAAGGTGTTACTGAGAATAGACTTAAGCCTAAAGTTAAGCACTTAGTTCTGGTTGGGAAGCTGGAGGAAGCCCATGCTCACAGGCAACGTGCTGCTTAACAATGGGGATACATTCTGAGAAATGCATCATGAGGCCATTTTGTCACTGTGCAAGTATCAGAGTGCACTTACACACACCTATATGGTATAGTCTTTTGTTAAGTAGAAATAATGATGAATAGTATAGTAAATACATAAACTATTAAGTCTTTTATTATCATTATCAAGTATTGTGCACTGCACATAATTGTATATGCTACTTGTTCATACAGTTGGCAGCGCGGTAGGTTTGTTTACAACGGCATTACCACAAACACGTGAGTAATGTGTTGTGCTACATTCCATCACCAGGCAGTAGGGACTTTTCAGCTCCGTTATTTTATGGTCCACCATCGTGTATGCAGTCCTTCAATGACCAAAATGTCACTATGCAGCACATAACATTTTACTGTGCCTGGGACTCTTCCCTGAGTTCCAACTTTTGTCTTGGTTTTACAAATAATTCCACAGTGGAAAAGGCAGAAATTCCCAGCTTTAATATTAGGGAAATGAAATCTATAAGAGACCCGTGCCCCACGATCACATTGAAACATCTGAAAACGTAAGGGTTCTCATTCCCTGTATGAAGAGAGAAATGTGCCCAGTATAGTTCTACAGTTGGAAAGAAGGTGCCGAGTAGTGGTTGATTTAGCAAATGAAGAAATCCAATTCCTAAGCAGTAATAAAGAATCTAAGAGCAGCCCTGGCCGGTTTGGCTCAGCGGTTAGAGCGTCGGCCTGCGGTCCGGAGAGACCCGGGTTCGGTTCCCGCTAAGGGCATGTACTTCGGTTGCAGTTTGTCCCCGGCCCTGGTTGGTCGTGCGGGTGGCAGCCACTCGATGTGTCCCTTCACATCGATGTTTCTGTCTCTCTCTCCCTTCCTCTCTCTCCCTCCCACTCTATCTGTACAAAAAATGGAAAAATATCCTCGGGTGAGGATTAAAAAAAAAAAAAAAAAAAGAATCTAAGAGCAAATCTAAATTATACTACAAATCTACAAAATGCTCAGATTTAATGGTATTGAAACTGGAGATAAAGGGGAAAGTTTGGCTAAATTAAAGGAGTGGTTAAGAAACTGGTGCCCTGCCTGGCAGGTGTAGCTCAGTGGATTGAGCATCGTCCCATGAACTGAGGTCCTGGTTTGATGCCCAGTCAGGGCACATGCCCAGGTTGCGGGCTTGATACCCAGTAGGGGGAGTGCAGAAGACAGCCAAATGATGTTTCTCTCTCACATCGATATTTCTCTCTCTCTAAAAAATAAAAACATATTTGAAAAAAGAAAGAAATTGGTGCCCTAGACCAGGAGTAAACAAACTATGGCCTGCCACATGTTTTTTTTTCTTTGAGGGAGATAGAAACATCAACAAGAGAGAACATCGATTGGCCACCTCCTGCATGCCCCCAAATGGGGATTGGGCTCACAATCTGGGCATGTGCCCTGACTGGGAATCCAACCGGGCACCTGTTGGTGCGTGGGTTGATGCTCAACCACTGAGCCACACCGGCCAGGCCACATGTTTTTGTATATAAAATTTTATCAGAACTCAACTATGTATATTCCTTTACCTATTGTGCACAGCTGCTTTTGGTGATACAAGGGCAGACTTGACTAGCAGTAGCAGACTATTATGGCCTGCAAAGACTAAAACATTTACTACCTGGCCCTTCACAGAATGTTTGCTGACCCTTGCCCTAAATCTTCTCCTATTTTATGCTGTGGGACAAATATGAGGTCCACTGAGAGAAGGGACAGTTTAGGGCTCTGTGAGCAAATTTTGTGCCTTATTAATTTGTACTGTTTCTATTAAACTCTTTGCCCTAGAGATAGTCCCTCTTATACCATGGCAGGAAACCCAAGATTTATTCTCCTCCCCCACTTTTTTTTTTTTTGCATTTATCTTCAGATAGAGCGGGAGAGAGAGAGGGAGGAAGAGATAGAGAAACATCAATGTGAGAAAGACACATCGAGTGGTTGCCACCCACACGACTCCAACCGGAGCAGGGACAAACCGCAACCGAGGTGCGTGCCCTTAGTGGGAACCGAACCCAAGACTCTTCAGTCCACAGGCCGACGCTCTAACCGCTGAGCCAAACCGGCCAGGGCTCAAGATTTATTCTCAAGCATGAACAAAGTCTCTAGACCAGGGACACTAGGAATTGTTGCAGAGAAAGGAATGTCCCTTGTGTGCATGCTGAACTCTGGGTCCAGCCCACCTCTCCCACCCCCAGAACACTGCCTTCCAGGCAGGACACAGGAAGCCTACTATGGGATATCTGACAATCCCAATGGAAGACAACTAAAATTGGCCCAATCAGATTATCCTAGTGAAGCTCTAAGTGAAGAAAGCTCCACTCACATGCTTAGAGCTCCCAATAAGCTTTGTAATCTTCTCTCTTACACATATGTGGACAACCAAGACAGCTGAGGAAAGTAACAATGCAAGCTAAACCAACAGACAAAAGCATGTTGGAGGAAAAGGAAGAAGACAACCTCAAACAAATAGGATGGTATAAAAAAGGACCATTCAGAAAGGAAAAAAATTTTTTTTGAAATAGCATGATAGCAATAGAGGATCTCTTTTAGAAAGCAGAGCTTGGGCCCTGGCCGGTTTGGCTCAGCGGTTAGAGCGTCGGCCTGTGTCCAGAGAGGCCTGGGTTTGGTTCCCGCTAAGGGCACATACCTCAGTTGCAGTTTGTCCCTGGCCCTGGTTGGGTCACGTGGGAGGCAGCCACTCGATGTGTCCCTTTCACATCAATGTTTCTCTCTCTCTCTCTCCCCCTCTCCCACTCTGTCTGAACAAAAAATGGAAAAATGTCCTCGAGTGAGGATTGAAAAAAAAAAAAGAAAGCAGAGCCTGGAGAGAAGCACCTATCTGGTTCATTGACTACATAACCTAACACAGCAAGGCGCCAGTCCTTAGCAGGTATAACAGACATGTGATGCTGCTATAGGCATTCAGAGGTCACATCATCTCAGGCAAGACACTAGAAATAGGTTTATAATTCTTTTAAGTGCTGAAATACTGTAGCTGTGTGGTCTCTTGCGTTCAGCTTGAGGGAGATATTTAATCCACTTTATTCCTCAGTAGCCTTTCTTAGTGGAATCTCATTTGGTATTGTTCAAATCTCATACCGATCATGGAGTATGTATCTTCCTAGGTACATTGTAGATATCACTGAATTTTATTCTCACAATGATCCTGTGAGGTAGCTAGTATTATTCCCATTTTTCAGAAGTAAACAGAGGCTCAGGAAGTTTTAATTTTTTTTCTCCCTTACCTGAGGACATTTTTGCATTTATCTTGAGATAGAGGGGGAGGGAGAGAGGAAGAAAGAGAGAGAGAAACATCAATGTGAGAGACACATCGACTGGCTGCAACCCACCCAACTCCTGGTTCCAACCAGCGCTGGGGACAAACTGCAACCGAGGCACATGCCCTTAGCGGGAACCCAAACCAGGCCTCTCTGGTCTGAGGGCCGACGCTCTAACCCCTGAGCCAAACCGGCCAGGGCGAGGCTCAGAAAGTTTTAAAGTAACTTTCCTAGAAACTTCCACATGCCTATTAAGTTTCAGAGTCTTAATTCAAACAAGGTTTGTCTATCTAACTATTCTGCCCTTTTCATTATACAAAACTGCCTGCTCCCTGAATCAGTTAATTTTCATTTGTATATAAGTCCACCATAGTCATGCCCCCCTAATCAATTATACAATAAGAACATTTCAGGAATTTTTCAGAATTTTATTTCTACTTTTTATGTTTGCTTTTACTGGACTTCCTAAATTTCTTTTCACCCTCAGAGCACCCAGCACAGGACCTCATACAAACAGGTGCTCAGCAAAGAATTGCCCAATGTTTTGTGGGGTATAGCTAGGAGCTCCCCGAGGCTGACTTACCTTTCTGGCTACCAACTGAATGGCATCATCCTCAAAGGCCTTTAAATCTTTGAGTCGGGACACTACAATCTGCTGTAGCTGCCTATAAGTATAGGGCTGGAAAGACATCCTGGTGAGACCCTGGGGAGCCAAGATGACAGAGAAACAAGTTCACTGATTGCCCTGACAGCCCTTGTGGAAGGTCAGCTACTAACCCCCAAACCCCATTTCCAGGTCCCATATAATAATGTGCAGATTTCATGCTGGGACCACCACTGCTTCCAGATCTTCGTTACTAACCACTGCCAGTGGTATCCCTTAGGGTTGTAGTCTCAACTACTTTTCACTTATTTTTTATTTATTTTTATTTTTTTATTCTTTCTTTATTTATTTTTTTCAAAAGAAGATCCTATCTTCTTTTATTTATTTTTTCTTTATTGATTTTTAGAGAGAGAGAGAAACATCAATGAGATAGAACATTGATTGGCCACCTCCTGCATGCCCCCTACTGGAGATTTGGCCCATAACCTGGGCATGTGCCCAGGAATTAAACTGGTGATCTCTTGGTGCATGGGTCAATGCTCAACCACTGAGCCACACCGGTCGGGCCTTTCCATTTAGTTTAAAAGATCCTTTAGTTCTACCAGAATCACTGAGTAGATAGAAGCAGAGGTGCTCCAATGAGGGTGGGTGGGAGGATCTGCAGCTCCATGATCTGCACAGGCAGGGCCCCTGGCTTCACTAGTCATGCTCGTAAATACCTGTGCTTCAAGCAGAACCACGGGTCCTGGAGGGCAGAGACCACGCCCATCTTGCTCACTGCTATGCTCTAGGCATTTAACACTGCCTGGCAAGCGTAAGTGCTTAAATATATTTTAAAAATAATTAAACCTCCAGGGCCCTGCAGTTTAAGGGTGCACAGGTAGCAGAACATCAAGTTGTGTTTGTAGCAATTCGTGCAATGGTGACATATTTAATTCCAATTTAAAATGATAAGAATTTTAGGAACCATATTTCTTACTTTTCCCATTTATTTTAGTTTCCTATGTATTCACTTTTGCAGAGCTCCTTGGCCCAGTTTCTAGATCTGTATGAACAGCTTGAGAATGGGCCCTAGGACCTACCAGCCGGCTTGACACCCGGTTCATCATGATGCGCTCTGGCAGGTCCATGGTATTGGCAATGGTCAGGACCACAAGCCGTGCCTCCTTGTGAGTGGGCCAGTCAAAGAGATTGTACATTATGTCTTGTTTCTGAGTCCACAGAAGGTCGAGCTGCCAGGGAAATGGAGAGAGATGCAGGGCCACAGAGACCGAGCCAGGGTCCCCAAGTAAAGACCTGCGCCTGCTTCAGCAGCATGTGCTTCTCAGGCCACATCAGCAGAGCAGTGAGGAAGTCCATGGACACATGCCTCTCGCCACCAGAGAACAGGCTCAGATGAATGAAGAAGGAGCCAGAACTTCCCTCCCACCCAGATTTGTTCCCAGAACATCGCAGTCAAAAACCACGCCGCTCTTTTCCAGTTCTCCTGTGGGGACTTCCTTACCTCATCCACAAGCAGCACGGTGGTTTCCTGAGCGGACCCTTGGGTGCAAAACTGCTTCGCCAGCAGTTCTACAGCATGGTTAGCGGTTGCCTTTTGGCCTGTCATCTTCTGAAGTGGGGGGAAAACAGGTATGGTAAACTATAAGGACTTACTCCACTGGGCTTAAAGTTAAATCTGCAAACAGAGGAAGCTATTTAGTCTGAGGACTTCAGGATCCCATACTCTGACTTCCACTCTAATCTAACCTAAACTTGGTAAGAGAAAAGCACCAGAACAGAAAATAAAGTCTGTGGGACTGAAATGCAAATGAGCAACAGACTGGCCCCAGAAGCCCCTCCAAAATCATGACTGCATGCCTCTATTTATAACTGGACATTATCTGTTACAAGATGACAGCTAATGAACAAAAGAGCGAGGTTCAAACTCTGGCCTACCTCTAACCCTTTTCTGTAGTTTACCACACTGCCTCCTGTGTGCAAATGGTTTTCACCATGTTAATAATTACTGGCTTCCAGTAATTCATATCGAGCTCCTAAACTTTAAGGTCCTTGGGGGTAGGAATTCTGCCTTCTTTGCCCTTGCTACTATCTTGACTCAGAGGGCAATGCCTGGCATGTTGAAAATATGTAATATGAACAAAGTTAAGTAAACCTTTTTTTTTCATGTGCTACCAAGAAACTGTATTTTCCAAAAAGCCCAAACTGCTTTGCTTACCTGCAAGATTTGCACATAGACTTGGTGAGGCTCTGTCAGCTTCATGCCATTGACTTCAATGAATTGAAAGGGAGGAACTTCATTTGCTTTGGCCGCCTGCTGCAAGCAGTGTATTACCTCGTGCACAGTGGCAGTCTTCCCAGTCCCAGGTACCCCGGAGATATACATGCACCTAGGCAAGAAGGGAAGGCATAGGCTTAGGTCTGTGCCAGGTGCCTAACACTAACATCAGTTAGGAGTGTGCAAATGTATGCTAAAGGAGGGCCCAAGAGTCTTGCAATGTGGAGGTGTAGGCAGACCATCCTTGGAAGCTGATCAGAGCAGGACCTGAATCATTCATTCCACAAGCAATGCTGTATGCCAACTGCCTACCCAAAGAAGGCCACTTTCATTTTCTTTGAGAGACAGAATTTCTATTCCTACAGAATGACTTTGACAACAAAAGCTGCTTCAGAAGTTCTAGGCTTCAGCAACAATTTTGCCTGTTCTTCTGACACTGGGGAAAGACCATTTGGTTGAAATCTGACACCTGAGGGGGTATACTGGCAAAAGCATCCCCCTCTCCCTACTTGCCCCACCCCCCAGGCTCAGCATGACTTACCCTCCAGTATGATCAAGGAGTTTGCTTTCCACAAAGTTGTAGATATCCTGGAATTCCTTTTCCCGACAGGGAAGAGAGTCGGGTACAGCAGAAACATGCAGACTAAATAAGGGGAAAGGGGGACTTTAGAAGCATTTCACCATCTACTCAATAATAAATGGAAAAGACTTAGTTATAGTTTCTATACAAAACCTTAATCACAAATCCAAGGGAATGTCTTCTTTCTCAGATCTCTTCATGTAGCCCCATAATCCTTTCTCCACTCGAATCACCAACTCAATTGTTCTAACCAAGGGTACATGTCACTGGGAAGCTTTCCCCAAATCACATGGCTGGACCTCATCCCATAAGAGATTCTGATTCCGCTGATTTCTGGCAGAATGTAGGCTCATTTTGAAAAAGTCCCAACATAGTTCTAAAGGGTACTATAACTGCGAAGTAGTGTACTGACCAATCATGTTCCATTCCTGGGAAAATGATGGCAGTAGACTGGAAGGTTACTCCTTCTAGAACTGGTCCACATTAGCTGACCCAGACACTACTTGAGAGGTTTCTTCTCTCTAAATACACATGTTCATTTTACTCTCGCTTCATGTGAATGAAAGCAGAGGCCCATTTCTTTCTCTTTGAAAGGGGCCCACGAGCAGTGTTACCTTAGCCGGGCTTCCTCTAGCACATTGGCCGGGCCCTGAGCAGCCAGGTTTCTGCTGCGGATCTGGGGAGTGGCACAAGGTGGCATTCTAGGCTTGGGCTGTTTTAAAAAAAGAGAGAGAGAGAGAGAGAGAGAACATATTTCAGAAAAACAACAACAACAAAGCAAAACACTATTCAGGACACATCAGCCAATCTGATTCCTGATGATCTGCTAAAAAGAGAGGTGGTAAATTCCTTAGTTCTTTTATGTATAAAGTACCAAGATTCTCCCTCTTTCTCCTCATATCACTTTCTTTGTTCATAGTCCAAACAATTTCTTTTTTCTAGGATTTGAAAACAATGTCAATCTAGGGGGAGAATAAATGAAAGTATGGATTAAATACTATTTAAAAATAAAATATTACTTTGAAAGAAAGACAAGAAATTATGAAGAAATCCTAACTACTCTGCCCAAACATAGGGTAGAGTAGGAGGCATAAACTGGGTTTGATTAATAGGATCCTCCTTCTAGATTTGTTTATAAATATGGTTAAGCCCTGGCCGGTTTGGCTCAGCGGTTAGAGTGTCGGCCTGCGGTCCCAAGAGACCCGGGTTTGATTCCCGCTAAGGGCACGTACCTCAGTTGCAGTTTGTCCCCGGCCCTGGTTGGTCGTGCAGGTGGCAGCCACTCAATGTGTCCCTTTCACATCAATGTTTCTCTCTCTCTCTCTCCCTCCCACTCTATCTGAACAAAAAATGGAAAAATGTCCTCAGGAGAGGATTAAAAAAAAAAGGTTACACTTGAGCTCAGTACTTCCATAGTATAGTACAGTATTTGGAGAAACCTCGCTAGACTTTTCCACTCCAAACCCCAGGGCCACTGCACACTCTACACTAAAGCCCTGTTCTCCTTGCTCCTGGCTCCCTAGAGCAGGCCTGCCACCCATTCTTCATGGTGTTTCCACAAAGCACTCCCTTCTGCAGGGGCATTTCACCTACCCACCCTCTGCTTCTAGCCAGGCTATAGAGTGATAACAATCTCTCCACCTCTTCCTCAAGCAGGAAGCACTCAGACCACTTAACTGACAGAACAGGAAAAGAGGAACAAAACCTCTCAGAAAATATCAAAAATTTGATGGACTTTTTAGCATACTAACTCTCATACCCTAAATCTCTTCCTCCGGGTGGGACCCAGGAGATGCAATCAAACCAGAAAGTAGGTGAGATATATACATAATAAAGAATTCCGGGTAAGACCGCCTCAGGCCCAAAAGTGATCTATTGAATTCCCTTCCCTAGGGGTGTTCCAAAGAACATTAAACTCCATGAAAGAAAAGTTAACTGGTCAAAGACTCAGATTCTAATGGTCTATTTGAAGATTGCAATAACATTAATAAGTTAACGGCCTTGGGAAGTCATGTGAGAATGAAACCAATTTAACTATGTAATCCAAACATTTCTCAAATACATCTGAACAAGGGAAGATTCTTCTTAATATCTTTCACTGTTCTGCTAAAGTTCCACCGGAAGCAGAAGAGACACTCATCATTCTCTTCCCATTACACAAACCTTTACCAATACCTGAGTAGAGTTCCCTGTTTTTCAGGTGTATCAAGTGGCACTGTTATGGGACAGGTGAGCTGACCCTGAGCAGGTCTGCCTAGGGCCAGCCAGTAGCATGTGGGTTGACTTCGTGCAGGAAAAACTTCATAGCACGAGTCCAAGTGACTATGAGGGTACGTTTATTAAAGCTGAGAACAATGAAACAAGGAAGGGATTAGCATAGAAGTAACAGAAGAGTCTAGGCTGGAGTGCCTTAATTCACTGGAAAGTCACAGAAAAGGGGACCTTGGGAACAGGTTCAGGGGATTAGCCTGGGACAAGCTGCTGCTGCCCATTGCTCCCCTGGATGCAAGTGAGGAAAGAGTTTAGGAGATGCATGCCTATGAAGAAGAGGGGGTAGGGAATGGCCCAGGTTGCTCCCCAGAGAAAGAGCGCTCACTAGATCCTTTGTCTAGCTTGCAGGCTAGAATCTTAGGGGAGGTCTCAGGGGAGAGTTTCAGCAGAATAGTCATCAGTTTTCCGGGTGTGCTCTTTCAGGGTCATGGTCTCTGATAGGTCAGTACCTAGGGGGTCATTAGTCACTGAAGCTGGGAAAGCTCACCTGGTTTGGCTACTTTTCTGTGCCTGGAGCTGAAATATAACTGAGGTCTAGATGTTATTTCTGTATCTGCCTATATATTACTTAGCCAGTTTGTTTGGCTATCTGTCTCAGTTTCCGTTTCCCTACTCCACCTGTCCTGTCTTACTGGCCTGTCTCAGCACAAAACCAACAACATGGCTCAATAGCCTTGGATTCAATAACCACTGAGCACTGATTATGCACAAAGCATTCTGCTGGGTTTTGTGGGAAATGCAAGGACAAAGTGCCGGTTCCTGTCCTCTCTGGAAGTTCAGCTCTTGGCCATTTGGTTCTGTATCTTATAAGAAACCTGGACTCAAAAATCACTAACTACTGGTTTATTTTTCAGCCCTAGGGTTCATGAATATTCCAAGAGTAAGAGCTTTGAATATTAACAGACATGTGCTCAGAATCTAGTATACTATTAGTGTGATCCCAGCCATCACCTTTTTAAAAAAAATCCTCATCCAAGGATATTTTTCCATTTTCTTCGGGTAAGTGGGAGGGAGGGAGCAAAACATCGACTGGTTACCTCCTGCAGGGCCAGGAATGGACCACACCAAGATATGTGCCCTGGACTGGAATTGAACCCACGATTCATTGGTCTGTGGGCTGACGCTCTAACTGCTGAGCCAAACAGGCCAGGGCCACCTTTTTTAAATTGAGAGGGATGCTTCCTTGAAAAATAAAGCTAAAAGAAGCTTACAGTTTTCTTTGGTGTTTTGGAGGGGGTGTGTAAGGATGACTTCACGGAAGAGCGTAGGTTCCTGGATACATAACTGCGTGTTCTCCTTGGAAGGGGTTGTGTAGAAACTTCTTCCTTCGCACTGTTAGAGTCTGAAATCTCTGCTGCCGGCAGAAATTCTTCTTCTTCTTCGTCACCTTTACTGTTACCTAAAAACCTGAATGGTGGGACACAATTTCTGATATTCAGTGTTTAAAGTCTAAATCAGAAGTGCCCTAACAGGTCAGTGTGGATTAGAGGTGTTGCAGTTTCTCCTAAGATGTGCTCTGCTTGCTTGCTACTGAAGTATTCTGCTAAGGGCTTTATTTATATTGTGATTTGTACATCACTATTCCCATTTTACAGATAAGAAAACTGAGGCTTAGAAAGGTTATGTGCCCTGGCCGGTTTGGCTAAGTGCTTAGAGCATTGGCCTGCAGACCAAAGAGTCACGAGTTCGAATCGCAGTCAAGGGCACATACCTGGGTTGCAGGTTCGATCCCCAGCCAGGATAGGGTTATATGGGAGACAACCCATCAATGTGTGGCTCTCTCCCTCCGTCCCTCCCTTCCTGCCATTCTATCTAAAAACCAATGGAAAAAATATGCCTGGGTGAGGATTAACAACAACAAAAAAAGTTACATAACTTCAGTTTCAATCCAAGACAGTAAGAATCAAAGTTCAGCCCTGGTCGGTTTGGCTCATTGGTTAGAGCGTCAGCCCGTGGACCAGAGTTGCAGGTTAGATTCTGGTCAAGGGCACGTACTTCAGTTCATTTCCCGGCACTGGGTGGGGTTGTGTGGGAGGCAACCAATCGATGTGTCTCTCACATTGATGTTTTTCTATCTCTCCTCTCCCTCCCTCCCACTCTATCTGAAAATCAATGAAAAACTATTCTCGAGTGAGGATTAAAAAAAAAAAAAAAAAAGAATCAAAGTTCATGCATCTAGGCATCCCTCTAGTCTTGCTAGGTATGATTATGGGGCCCTGAGAGCCACCTATGCCCCTAACTATGACATTTATGTGAAATTAACATAATTCCAGACATAATAGATACAAAGATGAATTTCAATGGAATAGCAAATTACAACTATATATGGCTGGATTATAGATATCATAGATGGCAGTGATAATCGTTTTTCTGCCTCCCAAGGAGCACTCTTACCGAAGCTGCTGCCTAATTCGATTCAAAGTCAAGCGAGAACTCTTTCTGAGGATACGATGGGGAACAGAGGTAGCTTCTTCCTGTGCTTCTGTTTTCTGTGCCTCCCTGCGAGATATCACAGCAAGGTTACAGAAGGCAGTTTTTGGCACTAGAAGATAGTCAGGTGGCCTGATTTGCTCCTATTCCTTTTACAGGAGATAATCACTTTGTTAAAAAGTTTATAACTGAAGTTTGACCCAAACCCAGAGATCAACATATGCTTAAAGCTTACCATTTAAATCAGACTCACCACCCAACTAGAGACCAGAATATACTAACCCCACTCTGTTTCTTTTCCTTTTTTCTTTCTGACATATCCATGACTTCACAGTCCACCCAGCTCAAGGTTAGCAAAATGTAGCTATAAATACAAAGCATTTGTATGATCTGGGTGCTAGAGCTTCTGAGCAGGGAACACTGAAATATCTAGTTTCTGGCTTCTCACATTATTTGTGCAGTCTATTATTTACAAACACTGTATAGTGTCAAACTGTAAACTTTGTTCTAGGTGCTTATCTTCTTGTACTACATGTATTTGAGAATGGTTTCTATTTAAAAAAAACACAAAAAACTAAAAAAAAAAAAGGCTGTTAAAATGTGGCAAAGAAACACAGCAAGTAACAAAATCCAGGACTATGAAGCAATTCAGGTTTGGGAAATTGTCTTTTGAAGCAGTGCTCCCCACAGGGTGGCTGAGTATACCAGAATCACCCAAAGAACATTTAAAAAATGCAGATTCTTGGGCCCAACATTTGGAGATTGATGCAGTATTCCTGGAAAGAGGCTCAGAAATCTGTATTTTGAAAAAATTCCTGGTGATTCTGACACGTTCAGATTTGCAACCCATTGCTCTAACTTTATCTACTGTTACCCACATATTTCATATCACATAAACCATTTGGATTTGCTCTATGGGAGGAGGGTAATGTCCTGGTCACCTCTTTTTTATCTTTACTGGTTTCAGAATCACAGAAGGCACCACCAAGGATTTCTTTCCCCCTCTGACAGGGTCCAGTGTTATTTTCTCACTAATCTCTGTGGTTTTCAAAGCTGGGACCCGGGTTCTCAGGATCATGTGACATTCAGGTGAAGCCTTCTTGTCCTGCTCAACACAAGAGCATAGAATCTCCCCAGTTTTCTTTGGGGCTTTCAGAGCTGCAAATGAGGTCTGAAGTCCATCAGGCTGAGATCTCTTACAAGGTGAGGTGATCTCAGAGGCTACTTTCCGTTTAGTTCTTCTGGGAGAATCCAAAGATGTGCATGAAGTCTGATGGGAAATCCCACTGTTAGGTGTCATTGGGAAACCTAGGTCCAAGAAAGATCACCAGACCATTTATAAGTTTTATAACCAGCACCATACACACCCCTAATCTAATTATAGCTAAATCCATCCACTGAAGTTATCCACAGACATGCGTTATCCATATTATGAATTTTTCCCCTAAGCCACGTAGCTATATTATTTTTAGTCTCTCTCCTAAATTCCATGGGTGCTTTTCCTAGCTAGAACCATAAGTCAACTATTAAGTCAGCTTTTGTAGATGTATGTTTATTCAGACCTCTCTGAAGTAATGCACATCCTCAGCCCCCATTCAACAGCATTTGAAAATCTTATTCCAGTGGCTCTGTTGAATAACACCAAGGCCTAGATTTTTTTTAGATCAGATTAAATCTACCAATAGAGAGAAGATGGATTCCTGGAGGCTACCAGCTCTTTTCAGTGAATACACAGAACTGCGTTAGAATTTGCTCCTCTCACCATGACCACAGGCACCATTCACAGATGTCAACTGAACTGTTAAAATGGTAAGGTATGTGGAACTTCCGGTCAAGATGGCGGGTAGGTAAATGCGGTCTCGCGTCCTCCCACAACCACATCAAAGTTACAACTAAACTACAGAAACCGTCATTCAAAACCGCCTGAAATCAAGCTGAATGGAAGTCCTACAACTATGGAATTAAAGAAGCAGTCACATAGAGACTGATAGGAGGGGCGGAAGCGAAGGGGCTGGATAAAAATCAGGAAAATACCTCGGCTGGGAAGGTCCTCCTTGAGGACTGAGGGGTCCCAGTCCCACACCAGGTGCCTCGCTCAGGGTTCCAGTGCTAGGAAGAATCCCCAGAACTTCTGGCTGGAAAAGCCAGCGGGAACTGAGGCTCAGGGAGGCTGAGGCGGTCGAAGCCCCAGGCAGCTCCTTAAAGGGCCCGCGCGCACAGACTTATAGGACTCCCTCTTCTAAGCTTGGAGGGGAGGCAGCTCGAGGGGCGCCAGAGACATACAGGAAGAACTGAGCTGTTCGGCACTGAAGCGAGGGCTGGAGAGGGGACTTTCTCGGGGACAGAAGTGCAGTCAGAGGCCTTTGTTCCTTTGGTGAGCCCTTCCCTGGGGCTCCAGCAACCTGGCCCACACTGGTTGCCCCACCCTGGTGATTCCCTGAGGCCCCGCCCCACCCAACTTTCAGGCCCACCCAAGCTGTTGCCAGTTGGTTAACCCTAGGATTGGCCTGTCTTGGATCCTGTTTCAGGTTTTCCTAAATTCTTTCCAACAAGCAGCATCTGGTCTCAGCTAGCCCCATATCTCTCGTTAAGTAATACATAGAAACAAACACAGGGAGGAAGCCAAAATGAGGAGACAAAGAAACAGGTCCCAAATGAAAGAACAGAACAAAACCCTAGGAAAAGAACTAAGCGAAATAGAGATCCGCAACCTAACAGATGCCAAGTTCAAAACACTGCTTATAAGAATACTCAATGGACTTAGTGAGAACCTCAGCGGACTTAGTGAGGACCTCAAGAGCATAAAATCGAACCAGTCAGAAATGAAGGAGGCACTAACTGAAATAAAGAATAATTTACACAGATTCAATAGTAGAGTAGGTAAAGCCAAGAAGCAAATCATTGACTTGAAATATAAGGAAGCAAAAAACACCCAATCAGAACAGCAAAAAGAAAAAAGAATCCAAAAAAATGAAGATAGTGTAAGGAGCTTCTGGGACAACTTCAAGCATGCCAACATTCGCATCTTGGGGGTGCCAGAAAAAGAAGAGAGAGAACAAGAAATCGAAAATCTATTTGAAACAATAATGGCAGAAAACTTCCCAAACTTGGTAAAGGAAACAGACATACAAGTCCAGGAAGCACAGAGAGTCCCAAATAAGATGAACTCCAAGAGGCCCACACCAAGACACATCATCATCAAAATGCAAAAGGTTCAAGACAAAGAGAGAATCTTAAAAGCAGCAAGAGAAAAGCAGTTAGTTATCTACAAGAGAGTTCCCATAAGACTGTCAGCTGATTTCCCAAAACAAACTTTGCAGGCCAGAAGGGAGTGGCAAGAAATATTCAGAGTGATGAAAAGCAAGAAGCTACAACCAAGATTACTCTATCCTGCAAAGCTGTCATTTAGAATCGATGACCACATAAAGAGTTTCCCAGACAAGAAAAAGCTAAAGGAGTTCATCACCACCAAACCATTATTATATGAAATGTTGAAGGGTCTTCTTGGAGAAAAAGATAAAAAATATGAACGAACAGCCCTGGCCAGCTTGGCTCAGCGGTTAGAGCGTCGGCCTGGGGTCCAGAGAGACCTGGGTGTGGTTCCCGCTAAGGGCACGTACCTCGGTTGCAGTATGTCCCTGGCCCTGTTGGTTGGGCGGGTGGCAGCCACTTGATGTGTCCTTTTCACATCGATGTTTCTCTCTCTCTTTCTCTTTCTCCTTCCCACTCTGTCTGAACAAAAAAATGGAAAAATGTCCTCGAGTGAGGATAAAAAAAAAAAAAAAAATATGAACAAAATGGCAATGAATACATACCGACAATTGAATCTACAAACAAAATGAACAAGCAGAACAGAAACATTCTCATAGAAACAGAACATTTTGTTGGTTGCCAGATGGGAGGGGGTTTGGGGGAATGGATGAAAAAGGTGAAGGGATTAAGAAGTACAAATTGGTTGCTAGACTGACAAACCCCAAAGGGAAGGGGGGTTGGGGGGTGGGAAGAAATAAACCAAAGGACTTATATGCATATATGCATAACCAATGGACACAGACAACAGTGTGGGAAAAGGAAGGAGGGGGACGGGAGTGGGGAGTAGGGGGTCAATGGGGGAAAAATGAGGAACATCTGTAATACATTCAACAATAAAGATTAAGAAAAACTAAAAAAAACAACAAAAAAACCACAAAATAAAACCAAAAAACAGTTCAACAGAAAAATAAAATAAAATAAAAATGGTAAGGTATGTGCCAGGTGCTCAGAGAAAACAAGGTTGAACGAGACAATCCTGGTCCCCAACCACAAGGGGAAATGATATACATGGATGTCTATAATGTGAAGTAAAATAATTGTCCTAAAGCACCTAAGTGCTAATAAAGATGGCTTTTGAGATAGAGCATGAAAGAAAGGGCCAGATCTTACAGGTCTTTGAACACGAACAGAAATAAAAGAACCTAACTGTATATCACCAATAATATAAACATCAGAAGAAAAAAATTAAATTTAAATTTAAAAATTTACTTCCTCAGTGGAATATATTCTAAAGGCATTAAGCAATGCAAATTAATTTTTAACTTTTACTTGGTAAGTTTACTGCTGGTGGTAGTATTGGTATAGGTACTGTGAAATTCGTGTGTATCAGGTTTGCTCCTGGGAACCAGGGCTCTTCTCCCTAAAGAAGGGTGATACAACCATGTACTAGGGGAAGAAGGGTAAGAGCCCTGTTGTCTATAAACAAGAAGTATCAGTATGATTTCAAGAGTTTTAAAATATATATGTCTCTTAACTCTTCCATTAGGGATCTAAAAGCAATGTCACCTTAGTAGCAGAGGTCTTGAAGAAATAGCTCATTTACAGAGCTCAGTATCACTAATCACAGAAAAATGTAACAACATACTATCTCACACCTATTAGGATGGCTACTATTAAAAACAAAAAAATAATGCCCTGGCTGGTTTTGCTCAGGGGTGAGAGCGTCGGCCTGCAGTCCAGAGAGACCTGGGTTCAGTTCCCCCCAAGGACGCGTACCTCGGTTGCAGTTTGTCCCTGGCCCTGGTTGGGTTGTGCGGGTGGCAACCACTTGATGTTTCCCTTTCATGTTGATGTTTCTCTCTCTCTCTCTCTCTCTCTCCCTCCCACTCTATCTGAACAAGAAATGAGAAAATGTCCTCGATTGAGGATAAAAAATAAATATCAAGTGTTAAAGAGGTGGAGAAATTGGAACCCTTGTACACTGTTGGTGAGAATGTAAAATGGTACAGCTGCTATGGAAAACAGTACAGTGATTCCTCAAAATATTACAAACAGAACTCCCGTATGATCCAGCAATTCCACTTCTTTGTATATATCCAAAATGAAAGCAGGGACTTAAGCAGATATCTGTGTACCTGTATTCATAGCAGCGTTAGTCTCAATAGCCAAAATGTGAAAGCAACCCAAATGTCCATCACAGATGGCTGGATAAATAAAATGTGGTATGTACATACATACAATGAAATATTATTTCAGCCTTAAAAAGACAGGGAATTTTGACATGGATAAACCCTGAGGACATTATTCTAACTTAAATAAACCAGTCAGAAGAGGACAATACTGTATGATTGCACTTACATGAAGTATCTTGAGTGGTCAAATTCAGAGACAGAAAGTAGAATGGTGGCTGGCAAAGAATGGGGGAATGAGGAGTTACTGTTTAATGGTTGGAATATAATGAAGATGGTTGTTTAACAATGTGAATATATTTAATGCCACTAAACTGTACACTGAAAATGGTAAATTTTATGTTATGTGTACTTCAACAAGTAACCAATCAGTACCTAGCCCATTGCTGCACTAACTTAATACTGTAGTATGAATTAATATTTTATCTTAGCCCTGGCTGGCTTGGCTCAGTGGTTAGTATGTTGGCCCGCAGACCAAAGAGTCATGGGTTTGATTCCAGCCAAAGGGATGTACTTCAGTTGCAGCTTGTCCCCGGCCCTGGTTGGGGTCGTGTAGGAGGCAGCCAGTCAATGGGCTCTCCCACATCAATGTGTTTCTCTCTCTCTCCCCCTCCTACTATCTGAAGATATTTGAAAAAATATTCTTGGGTGAGGATTAAAAACATATATGTATTTTATCTTATTCCTTTAGCTTCAATACTGCCCACTGTGACCCATTCCACACTTACTGCTAAGTTCTAGCCTCTTCCTTGCCCTTGGGGTAACAGGATGGGTAGGAATTTGGTGAGATTTGGAGGTGGAGTGCCTCAATTCAATCCTTTTGACCACATGCTTTGCTGTGGTCCAAGAAGGGCTTTCTATGCTGTTACTCTTGGCTTCCATGGGCTTCTGGCATCTAGGACTGCCTTCTTGTAGCTTATCCAACTCTGCAAATAGCTCTGGGGATAGTGGTTTGAAGTTCTTCTCATTCCAAGATAGTTTCACAAAGAGTGTCTTCTCATTTTTCAGATCCGTAGGTAATACTTCATCTGGAGCTAAAGCTACCACCTGAATTTGGAAAGTATAAGTGAATAGGAAGAAATGAGAACTAAAATAGCCAAGGAATGCTCCATGATAGCTATGATCAAAAAGCATTTAACTCTGCATCCTTACCTGGAACATTCCCCTTCCAAACTAAAGAGGCATAGCCATGGCACAGCATATTTCTACAGACTCCTCCTCACTGATATTCACACCCCATGTTTCTCTCTTTTCCAGGTCATTCTCATCAGCCATGTCAAATTTCTCCACAAAAACTTCTCTAAGCATGCTCCACTGATCAATAGTCTATAATGACTCCCCACTACAGCAAGATCAGATTACTCAAACCAAATTTCAATGCCTTCTAAAATCTGGCCCCATTTTACCTTCCGAGTGGTCAATATTCTTCAAAATGGTCTTCCATCACTACTCAGGCTTGGCTTTTCATAGTACAGCTCACCATTGTGCGCCTGTCTAAACACCCTCTTCCCTCTCTGCCTTTCCAAATCTACCCATCTTCTGCTTCAACTTCTACATCTGCCTTTCATTTCTTCACTCTGGGCCCAGATCGGAAAAAAATCTGACTATAATCATGCCAGACCAAAGTCTCTGTCCTACCAATTAAACCACCATGAGACCACACTTCACACCATGATCTCTCATTTTGAGCCTGAAGTAGCTTGAGGAATAACCCATATCTTAGTCTCCAAACCAGTGCCTCAATTCAGCCTACAGCTCTTTGGAACTTGATTTATCATAAAATCCCATAACTCGAATTTACCTGTAGTAACCAGCACTTTTTGTACTGATTTACTGAATGTGAAGTCCTCGTTTAAGCAATGCTTCATGCCTACCACAATCATAGCTAAACACAATTTCCCACTGCGGTACGTTTGCTAATTCTGCTCATCTCTGAGGTCACAACTTAAATGTTACTCCCTCCAGGAGGCTCCTAACATATGATAAGTGCTCTCAGTAAATATCAGTTGAAATGAAATAGGCAGACAAGCACAAAAGATGACAATAGCAAAAAACTCATTTCTGTGGGGTAAATTAGAGTCAGTAATATCTTAAGGTCATGCAGTTTAGGAGGCAGACAGAAATAAGCTTCAAGATAGAACTGCAAATCAAGGCATCACCTACTCTCACAGGGCCAGTGATGGTCTCGGCATTGATGTTGCTGTCACAGGCAGGGTAATCATACCAGAATATCTCCTGTGCATCAGGCCTCCGACCCAACAAATGCTGTTTATGAACAGGGATTTCACAGAATCGAATAAACCACTGCACTCGAGCACGTTTCTTGAAATGAGGTTCAGAATCTAGGAGGGATAGGTAGAAAAAGGAAAATTAAGAAAATGTTAGAACATTATGTTAAGCACTTCTTATGTCAGGCACTGTGCTAAGCACCTGATTAACATATTATTTTTAATCTTCATAATAACCTTACAATGTAGGGACTATGGCTATCACCCTTATACAGGCAAAATAATCGAGTTACAGGGACCTTAAATAATTTGTGGTCACAAGATCAACCAGCAACAATCTGACTCAACCCAGCACCCATGTTCTTTTCACTTTGCTCCACTTCCTAATGGTGGCTATCAGTCATCAAAAGTTACAAGGCATTTGAGAGGAGCAATTCTAATCAAGGGCACTGAATAAATCTTACAAATCAGTGATTATAAAGAAGCCATCAAATAGCAGAAAAACAAAAATCCTGTCAAGAATTAGAGCATCAGCCACTGAGATGCTTTTGGCAAACATATGCTTGTAATTTCCAGTTTCATCATTGTACTACACCACTAATATCATTCCATACCAGCATTTGCTCTGAGTAGAAAGACAAACACTCTAGTGCCATCATCATCATTGCCTCTTTTCTTCCTTAGCTCTCTTCAGAGAAAGACTGAAGCACCCCACAAAGATTCTAAAATCTGTACACAAGGGCCCATACTGCAAATACAGAAGTTCATACTGCTGAGATGCTCCTAGTCGTGAATATTAGTTTGACAGGTTTCCTCCAGACTTGTCAAATACCCTTCCTATCTAGGTAATGTAAAAACATCTTTATCCACTCACTCTATCAGTACCTTTTAGGCATCCAAACTACCAAAGGACTAACTAACTGTCATTCCTTTTCTAGCTCTTAGAATAGGCAGTTTTGTGTAATTTCAAATTCTTCTTAATGCTCCTTTTGGAGTTCTCCCCATTCTCACTTTTCTGTGCTCTTCTCTGCTTTACAGAAGGTTAAAGCTCAGAGAATCAGCTGAAGTAGTGAGTGTGTACTTGCAGGCTTTGGTTAACACTATCTTCCCTTTTGTTCTTCCTTTTTGTTTTATTGACTGAACATCAACTCATACCAATCCAACTTACCTCCTTCTCACACTAAGAATTTAAATGTGTAAAATTCATTACTAACTTCCTCATGTGAAAATTAAAGGACAAGTCTGTATCAAAGAGCAAATCATCTATTTGTTTCTTCCCCCTTCTTCCCAAATTCATCCTTTTGCTCCATTCCAAAGATCCTGCCTTAATGGCCATTCTTACCCACTCAAAAATAATAGAAAAGCTAAATTCTTGAGCTACAGCCCTCCGACCCCATTTTATTCACTACTGCTCTAGAGAGTAAGGAAGTTCACTAGATAAAAGAAGGTATAGCTAGTGCTAAATTTACCCCACCTCAGAATTTAGGGCTCACACCCTATAAGCTACCGTGAACAGAGGAATGAATAACTACCCCCACTTCCCCACCACCTGGCATCTCCCAATTATTCATGACAAGGAATGGTTCTCATTCCAACCCAAAACTCACCATCTTCAAACAGCTCAATCAATTTAGCAACATTTGGATTTTCATCATCATCCCTTTCAACCAACACAAACTGTCCAACTTGGATGTGAATCTCAGTCGAACAGCCTTTTGATGTCACATTCATTTCTCTAAGAAGTAACAGAGAAACATGTTAGGAAATCACTTAGGGTGAGCCAAGCTCTTCAGACCCTCTGGGCACAAAGAAAAGTGCTCCCCAACTGGAATATCCCAATAGTTTCTCTTTGCTGACCAATTCTCCTACTGCAGAACCAATTCTCTAGTTCTATGCAAGAGAAGACAAAATGGGTTGAATGAATTGTTTTAGTATGAATGATTAATCCAGAAGCCTTAATATGAACCCTACTTCTCTTAGTTATTAACGAAGAACAAAGGCTTCCAAAGGCTGCCCAATAATATCAAATTAATCAGGGATCTCTAGGGCTGGAAGGACACAGTAACAATATCTAACGCTACCTGTTATTAGCAGAATTACATCGAATCTACCTTATTTGGATATGTCATTGTCATACATATCATATTTTATTAACCTGACAATGTATTCCTTTATCACTAACTACTATATTTATGCTACCATCTTTTTGCATCAAACAAAACCTCTCCTTACAACGGGCTGACAACCCACAAATAAGTCTGTCTGGTCTTCAGCCTTGTAGGGCAGTATGTCATGGCTCCTGTGTAAAAATCACTAACTCCGATTTAATATGAAAATGCTTCGATGGATTCTAGGATACAATCCCTGCTTTTAATGAGTTCAATCTTCTTTTCTTCCCCAGCTACACTCCCACACATTTTAGACTTAGAAAACTTTTTTTTGAGGAAAAAGTCAAGCTCTATGAAGAACAAGCATAGCTCTATGAAGATCAAGCATAAGCAACTTATTATCACCTTTGTATATCTTGTACTATGCATATCTCTTCCTATCCAGGGAAACAGGAGAGTCAATGTGTAAGAATTGAAACTATAAATGTTTAGAAGTACTTACTAGGTATAAGGTACAGTTTTAGGTATGGAACCTCTAACAACTTGAAACTAAAACAGTGATACAGTGGTTGGTTGTAAGTGTCTTTATAACACTTATAATCTAGAAAGGGGTAAACTATAAATGCACTAAAGGACAAAATAGTGCAAAGAGCCAGAGAGACTACTGCAAGTTAGAGAACCAGGTTTTGTGGCTATTCAGGGAAGAAGGGCTTCCTACATGGGTTTCTGCACTAAATACTGAATAATGAGCCGATATTGATAAAATGGAATGAAAGGAGGGATTTCAAGAGATGGAGGCAAAAATATGCAAGAGGCACTTGGGGAAATAACAATGGGTTTTATCAAATATATATTTTCCACTTAGATTAAAGGAAAAAGAAGTGTCACTAACTTATATTGCTCCGACAGTTGTAAGAGGTACTTTTCTTTGCAGCTAATGGGTCCTAGATAAGTATTTTGAATAGCTGAAAAGAAATGCCTGTATTAAAGTACACGGAAAAAAAGACGCTTTTATTGACAAAAACAAAAATGTGAACAAAAAATCCAAACATGCCAATCCTCTTTAAAATTTGGAAACTGTAATCTATTAGTCCTAATAATAATGCCAACCTATTAAGTTTAAATAATCAAGAAAATAAGCCTTAAATACATGTCTAACCACACAACTATGCTGTACAATTGAAACTAATATAATATTAAATGTCAACTGTAATTTAAAAAATAATATATACATAAGAAAACGAGTCTTTCCTCTAAATTCAATGCTTTTCTTATGGAGCTAAAATTTGAACTGGGGTAAATCACTCTGAATTACTGATAGTGGGAACAATAATTGCAGTGTATGTGGAAAACAAAAGAATCAGGGTAGTATATTAGCATCCTGATTAAACAAGCTGGTTTCCTAAAGTTCAGTAGTATTATGTCCTACATTCTACTTGGGAACATTTTGACCCATAAGTTTCCTACTTTTAAAAAAGATATTTTTTAGTATACTTTATGGAAACTAATTAGCAAAAAGGAAGGAAGATAGTTATTAGTAAATATTCAGCTTATAAATAATGCCTGAATGATTGCTATTATTAATATCAAGAGTATAATTCACAACATAGTACTATTAGAATCAATCTAATTTCTATTGAGCACATCATAGAAATGAACAAACAGCAAAAAGAACTGATGAGTAAAAACAAGTAGAAGATTGTGTTCAAGTAAAAAATGAATTTGGATTTATATAATCTTTTGATAAAAATTAGTAAAAGTGTTTGACTCAATAAATGTCCAAGGAAATATGTAACACTAACTTACCTTCAATATATGTCCCTTTAACAGATGATGTAACACAGAACTGTCAGAAGTAAACTCGAAACTTGACACCTTCCCACAATGAATCAGGAAAATAGGCTCTGAGATACAAAAGATTACTCACTAAGCTCTGTCTTAAAAAAACTATAATTATCACCGAGAGTGCTTTGCAGCAAACTGGTATCTCTCAGCAAACTTTCTACAACTCTTAAATAATATAATTATAGGATAAATGGCCTGATTTGTCACTTTGACTATATTTAATTGCACTGGCACAATGATTTACAAACCAAAAACTGGCATACAGAAGGACCATCCCCATATCAATAAGGTATGCATGTCTACTTAAGGCATCAAATCCATACTCTCAACTCTTTTAAATCCCCACCATATTTTAGCTAACTAAAGCAGGAATCCTTTAAAACCAAGTCAAGATAAAATTTAACATTTTTTTTCTAAGAGGACATGAGTTATGGTCAATGAAACCAGTATGGTAGTTTCCCTTTTCTGCAGGGGATAAGTTTGAAGATCCCCAGTGGATGCCTGAAACCATGGATACCCAACTCTATACATATATACTGTTCTTTCCTATATATACATAACTATGATAAAGTTAAATTTATAAATTAGGCACAGTAAGAAATTAACAACAATAAAACAGAAAAATTATAACAATGTACTATAATATTAAGTTATATGAATGTGGTCTCTCTCTCAAAATAGCTGATAACCAATCTGATAACTAAACAGGCTAATGGGTGGATAGCTCATACAGCCTGGATACACTCACTGGACAAAGGATGATTCAGTCCTAGGCAGTCTAGAGAAGGACTGTGCAAGATTTCACTATGCTACCCGGTACTATGTGCAATTTAAAACATAAATTTGGCCCTGGTCGGTTTGGCTCGTCGGGTAGAACATCAGCTGGCGGGCCAGAAGAGTCCTGGGTTCGGTTCTGGCTTAGGGCATGTACCTCAGTTGCCATTTGATGGGGTTGTGTGGGTGGCAACCAGTCGATGTGTGTCTCTCATGCTGATGTTTCTCTCTCTCTCTTCCTCTCTCCCTTCCTCCCGCTCTATCTGAGGAAAAAGTCCTCGGGAGACTTTTCAAGATGGCGGCGTAGGTAAACGCGGTTATCACGTCCTCCCACAACCACATCAAAGTTACAACTAAACTACAGAACAACCATCATTCAAAACTGCCTAAAATCAAGCTGAATGGAAGTCCTACAACTACGAAATTAAAGAAGCAGCCACATTGAGACTGGTAGGAGGGGTGGAGGCAGACAGGTTGGTCCCACACCCACGTGTGGCAGATAAAAATCAGGAGGGACACCCTCTCTGAGGACTGAGGGATCCCCGTCCCACACCAGGCAACCCGCTCAGGGTTCCAGTGCCAGGAAGAGAAGTCCCCATGACTTCTGGCTGGAAAAACCAGCAGGAACTGAGGCTCAGGGAGGCCGAGGCAGCTGCAGCCCCAGAGACATACAGGGAAGAACTGAGCTGTTTGGCATTGGAGCGAGGGCTGGAGAGGGGCTTTCTCCAGGACAAATGTGCAGTCAGAGGCCTTTGTTTCTTTGGTGAGCCCTTCCCTCAGGAGGCCAGCAGACAGCGCCATATCTGGGCCTCCAGCATCTGACTGGTTGCCCCGCCCTGGTGACTCCCTGAGGCCCCGCCCCACCCAACTTTCAGGCCCACCCAAGCTGCTGCCAGTTGCTTAACCATAGGATTGGCCTGTCTTGGATTCTGCTTCAGGTTTTCCTAAATTCTTTCAAACCAGGAGCATCTGGTCTCAGCTAACCCCATATCTCTTGTTAAGTAATACATAGAAACAAACACAGGGAGGCAGCCAAAATGAGGAGACAAAGAAACAGGTCCCAAATGAAAGAACAGAAAAAATCTCCAGGAAAAGAACTAAGCAAAATGGAGATAAGCAACCTAACAGATGCTGAGTTCAAAATACTATTTATAAGGATGTTCAATGAACTTAGTGAGAACCTCAGCGAACTTAGTGAGGGCCTCAAGAGCATAAAAAAGGACCAGTCAGAAATGAAGAAGGCACTAACTGAAATAAAGAGTAATTTAAACAGATTCAATAGTAGAGTAGGTAAAGCCAAGAAGCAAACCATCGATTTGAAATATAAGGAAGCAACAAACACCAAATCAGAACCACAAAAAGAAAAAAGAATCCAAAAAAATGAAGATAGTGTAAGGAGCTTCTGGGACAACTTCAAGCGTGCCAACACTCGCATCTTTGAGCTGCCAGAAGGAGAAGAGGGAGAACAAGAAATCGAAAACCTATTTGAAACGATAATGGCAGAAAACTTCCCAAACCTGGTGAAGGAAACAGACATACAAGTCCAGGAAGCACAGAGAGTCCCAAACAAGATGAACTCCAAGAGGCCCACACCAAGACACATCATCATCAAAATGCAAAAGGTTCAAGACAAGGAAAGAATCTTAAAAGCAGCAAGAGAAAAGCAGTTAGTTACCTACAAGGGAGTTCCCATAAGATTGTCAGCTGATTTCTCAAAAGAAACTTTGCAGGCCAGAAGGGAGTGGCAAGAAATATTCAGAGTGATGAAAAGCAAGAACCTACAACCAAGATTACTCTATCCTGCAAAGCTGTCATTTAGAATCGATGACCACATAAAGAGTTTCCCAGACAAGAAAAAGTTAAAGGAGTTCATCAGCACTAAACCATTATTATATGAAATGTTGAAGGGTCTTTTTGAAGAAAAAGGAAAATATATGAACAAACAAAAAGGCAATGAATACATATCTATTGACAATGGAATCTACAAACAAAATGAATAGGCAGAATAGAAACATTCTCATAGATACAGAAAACATTTTGTTGGTTGCCAGAAGATTGGAGGGAGGTTGAGGGAATGGGTGAAAAAGGTGAAGGGATTAAGAACAAATTGGTTGCTAGACTGAGAAACCTCAAAGAGAAGGGGGTTAGGGGTGGGAAGAAATAATCCAAAGAACTTATATGCATATATGCATAACCAATGGATACAGACAACAGTGTGGGAAAAGGCAGGAGGGGGGCAGGAATAGGGAGTAGGGGGTCAATGGGGGAAAAATGAGTATCATCTGTAATACATTCAACAATAAAGATTTAAAAAAATATCCTCAGGTGAAGAGATTTTTATATATATATACACACACACCATAAATTTGTATTTCTGGAATTTTCCATTTAATATTTTCAGACCATAGTTGAAGCAGGTAACTGAAACCTTGGAAAGTGAAGTTGCAGATAAGGGGGGAATACTGTACAGGCATATATGCGTGCAAGTGTGGGTGATACACCCTCAGCTCAGCAGGCAGAGGGTATAGGAAAGAAGACTATTTGGGCCTGTACTACATTTACTACATAACCTGCCTCACCTGGATCTATCACTCTGTTTCAGGCCTGCTTTTCCAAACCTCCAACAGACCAAGGCTGTTAGTGCCCACAGACTTAGGCAGCTGCTATTCTCTCTTCCTGCAAATCTTTGTAGGGATGGCTCAAGTCTCAGCTCCAGTGAAACTTTCTCAGAGGCCTTCACTGATACACAATGAAAAGTCACCCACCCCTACATCCCTCAGGATCATGTTTTATTACACCACCCTATTATCAAAGCAATGACCATTACATTACTTTCTTATTTAGTGTTTCCCACATTCAAATGTTAACTTTCAAAAGAGCAGAGATCCTGTGACCTTGTCTATCTTGTTCATAAATGCATCCCCAGGGCCTTGGTTATGAGTTGGCATGTAACAGGTGAATGAACAAATGAATGAGCAAAAATGATTAGGGCAATACCAAGTATGGTACGGATGTAGAACAGCCAGAACTCATACACTGCTGGAGGTGCATGTGAATTGGCAAAACCACTTTGGAAAATTAGCAGTATCTACCAAAGCTAAATGTATTCATAAGTCCATGACCCAACAATTCCAATACAGTTGCCCTCGTTTATCGTGGTTAATGAATTCCAGACTCTACTGTGATAAACGAATTTCCGCGAAGTAGGATTCTTTATGTATTATACAGTCATCCTTCGCCACTTGGCGTTTCCACGGTCGCAGCTTCACTCTATCCCGGTTTTTCAAATACTACACTGTATTGGAAAAACTGCGATAGTCGAAGGGCGAAGTGGCGAGGGATGACTGTACAATATACCCAACAGAAAAACATACCTAACATCAAAAGACATAAGCCTGAATGTTCACAGCAGCATGTTAAAGCAATGAAATTAAGCCAAGCACAAAGTGAGGAAAATCTCACAAAATAACAATGAACTAAAGAAATCAGATACCAAAAGAATACATACTATATTTATTCCAGTTATAAAACATTAAGAAACAGGTAAAAATAACCAATGGTGTTAGAAGTCTGAATAGAAGGTAACCTAGGTAACTGAAAGGAAGCATGAAAGAGTGTTTCTGAGATGTTGGTCATGTTGTCTCTTGATCTAGATACTGGTTACATGGGCATCTAGAACATGGGCATATTCTCTAAGAAAACTCATTGACATGCTATTTCTAAAACTGGCAGATTAACTGAAAGAAAGTATAAAGTAAAAAATATTCAAACAATAAAAACTCACTGAGCTGCACATTTACAACTTATGCACTTTTCTGAATGTATATTATTTTTTAATTAAAAGTTTAAAAACTTAAGCAGGAGTCCTTCTGAAGAGGTAGCATAAGGAAATCATAGATGTCAGGCTTCTGTATTGTTACCCCACTTTCTTACCCTCCTCCCAGCATTTCATCTCAACCACCATCAACAGAGAGATTCCCCAAGAGGGGTGATAAATGGGGTAAAATGGGAGACCTGACTTGGCCTAGCAAAGGCTTTGGCTTCTAGAAGATACCTACTACAGCTTTTCAATGTTGCAGATAGAAATATGTAACGTACACACCACCCTGTTCAGGGGTCACACTCAAGGAAAACAGATAAGGGAACTGCAGTAAAAATAATGATAGCAGATATTTATTGAGCCAGTATGTGTTTATCTCAGTTAATCCTCACCATAATCCTAGAAAAATGTTAGTACATAGTATCAAGTTCACAAAAAGCTCTCAATAATGAATATTTGCTGAAAGATAGATTTTATTATCACTTCAAGATGGTAACTTGTCTCGATGTTATACAGGATGGCACAGCCTTAATTCAAACCCTGAGTAGCTGGATTCCAATGACTGCTCTTAACCACTTCACCATACAAGCAGATAATGTTAAATATATGCCTGAGAAAGCTTACTTCTGGTGTACTTATTACAAGAAGTCAGGCTTCCCAGACATGACTGAGAGGTCAAATGGGCCTAGGTTTCCTTATCCATAATATAGAATAACAACAGAACCTTCCTTTTATTCAACCAATAATGTATTAATCACCCATTGTGTGCCAGGCACTGTTCTAGGATTACTGAGGATTAAGAGAGAAAATGTAAAATTGTAAATTCTCGCCCTCACTTTCTTAATCCCTTGCTCTATTTGTAAGGGACAGTGGTTCTTGGTTTTCTTTTTTTACTAACTGAATGTTATGAAACTCACATACAATTCACACAAATTTTTGCATTAAATTTCAGGGGTTTCATAAACCTTCTAAAGTCCACATACTGCCCTCTGTTACGGTTAAGACCTGTTATAGAGGAACTTGGTACACCATGTTCTCACATCAGACACCTCCAATGGCATTCACAAGCACCCATTACAGCAGAGAAGAGGGTACTATTTTTACAGACAAGTGAAATAAAAAACTTACATATTTAATCATTGCAGTTTAACAGATAGTAAACCAGGGTAAGAATCTCGCCATCTCATGCATCTAAATCCAATGCTTTTTCTAGCTATCAAGAAGGAAGGCCCTTCTATTCTAGGGTTAGACTACAAGAAGTAGAAAAGATAATTAAGAGCAGCTTTGAAAAAAACAGCCTAGACAAGCCTCCCTCTAGGCGCAATTGCTACATCTGTAAAATGTGGTAATAACTTCTGCTGTTCCTACTTTCCTGTGGTGTTTGCTACACTAAGGCTCAAAGGAGGAAAAGATGCGCAGCTTTACAAGGGCAATGTAGACTGAGGGATGGCTGAGATCATCACTAAGTCTCTGGGCGCTGAGGGCAGGAATGCTCACGCTTCTCTCCTGTAGGCTTCCGGCTTCCCCGCTGCAAACTCGCAGCCCCCGAAGGAGCGGAAAGTGTTTTAGCAATCGGGAATGTGGGAAATAAACGCTCCTAATGGGCTTAGAACGATGCCTTGTACTTAACGGTCGCCTAGTATCTGCTGAATTAATCAATGGCTGCGTGAGTTTACAAATAACAACTTCCTCATTTCCCGGCGCCTTCAGGTCCCCCTCCAGCCCGCGGGACGCCACACGCACCGCGGGCAGAAGCTTCCTGAAGCTAGGAGCAAGTCCTCCAGTTCCCAGCATCATTGATTCAGGAGCTCGTGGAGCTGCATTAACTCTCACCTGTATCTGCTGGATTCCTCTGGCAGCCAAAGGGACGCGTGCTGGTGCCGCAACTGGGTCCTCGCTAGAAACAGGAAAAAGGTGGAGAGAAAATTTCGCGCCAAACGTTGTAGTCCCGCCCCGAGCCTGTCTCTACGTTGCGTCACCAGCCAGCCCTCCCCCTGTCCCGCCTACCTAAGAGAGGACGTATGACGTACGCACGCCAAAGATGAGCGGCCATCATTGATTGATTCGGCCACGCCGTTTGCGGAAGAAAGTTTCTAACTGCAGCTTCTCAAATTTCAAGATGGTCGCCTGAGCTATTTAAGTGAGATTTCACCTTACCCGGTTCTGAGGTGTTTTTTTTAAACCTGGATGTGACGCATAAAGGACCCGACGGAAATAGAACTGAAGGCGTTCTAAAATGGCGAACCGCACGGTGAAGGATGCCCACAGCATCCACGGCACCAACCCTCAGTACCTGGTGGAGAAGATCATTCGGACTCGAATCTATGAGTCTAAGTACTGGAAGGAGGAGTGCTTTGGACTTACGGGTGAGTGGGAGCGCGCCGACCCCACCATCAGCCGCTTTGTGGCCCAGTTCTCCTGACCAGGCGCCGGTGGGACTGAACCCTAGGGGTGAGATTGGAAGGGAATCTGTCATTCGGAAGAACCTGAGCGCCTCCTATGTGCCTAGACTTCTGTTGTGCTCTGAGCTCACAGATGGCAGGGTCTTATTCCGAAGGGTGTCTCAGTTTTGTTCCGGACAGTGTTAAACTCAGGGTCCCCGAAAGTCTTCATTTTTCTTTTTTATGGAGAGGAAAGGAGAAACAAACAAACATAGGTTTGTTGCTCTGCTTATTGATGCATTTATTGCTTGATTCTTGTATGCGCCCTGACCAGGGATGAACCTGCAACCTTGCTATATGATGCTCTAACCAATTGAGTTACCTACCGGGCCAGGGCCAGAAAGTCTTAAAGGAAAGTCAACATGCCCAGAACCAAATTCATGATCTTACTAGCCCTTAATCTGAACCACTTGCCGTATGTCCACTTCCAGTCCTAATATAAATATCAGTTCTTCAGAGAAGTCTTCCAGGTAGTGTTTTAATCTTTGTTCAAATTCTGGCTCCTCTTTTTAGTAGCTGCTACTTCAGTGAGCCATAGCATCCTCTACTGTGAAACGAGTATAATAATACCCACCTCAAAAAGTTGTTATAATTGCAATAATGTATATATTAATAAAAATACTCGCCCTGGCTGGTTTGGCTCAGCGGTTAGAGCATCCGCCTGCGATCCGGAGAGACCTGGGTTCGGTTCCCGCTAAGGGCATGTACCTCGGTTGCAGTTTGTCCCCAGCCATGGTTGGGTTGTGTGGGAGGCAGCCACTTGATGTGTCCCTTTCACCTTGATGTTTCTCTCTATCTCTCTCTTCCTCTCTCTCCCTCCCACTCTATCTGAACAAAAAATGGGAAAATGTCCTCGAGTGAGGATAAAAAAAAATAATAAAAAATAAAAATACTCAGTAATCAATGGTGGTCATGGTGCTAGTTTTTACTACTGTTAAATACTGTGTTATAGTGCTGCCACCACTGCTAGCTTTGTGTCCATGAACCAATCCTATTGTTGCTCTGAGTCACCATTAAATTTTAGTTGTGTAAGTTTTATTTTTGGTCCCTTTTCTCATTCCGTAGTTCTCTCCTTGGATGATTTCCATAACACAGTTACATCCTATATATGTAGATGCCTTCAAATTTATCTCTCCAGACCAGAACTCTCCCTGAGCTCTAAATCTCTAATTCCAAGACATGCCAACTCAGTAGTCCAAAAGTGAACTCAGGACCTTTTTTTCCCCCATTAGGTTACATTCCCTTGTATATTTTTATTGTACTCTGCATCTTCATTTAACTACTCATCATACTTTGTTATTTTTGTCAATGCTTTCTGATTTGCCAGGCTGTAAACTTTGTAATAGTAGTAATTGTGTCCCTTTTCTTTATCCTTCTATCTGTATCTCTAGAACTTAGCACTCAGCTGTAAGTGGTGAACTGTATGTTGAATGAATTAATACAGAATTTATCCTAAAGGAACTTGGCATCTGATATATAAAATGATTTCCCATTAATGGTTGCTAACATTTTATTATTTGCTATGTCAGGTTTGATTCTCACTATAGCCCTTAAACTTTGTATCTTTATTATTTAAATTAGAACTGACAGGCTCAAAGAGAAATCAAGTGACTTGCCCAAGTTCACACAGCTAATGTTTGATTTTGACAACAACATTGGAAAGTTATCCCCATTTTGTAGATGAGAAGAAGTTTACTCACTGTTATGTAGCTATTGAAGAATTGTTTGTTATTGTTTTGTTTCTTTAGTGAATGAAAAAGGGGCTCTATAATACATCTGATGTGTTCAGTGGCAGGAAATAATTTCACAGGGCGATCTGATCATAAAGTCTCAACAAGTCATTAGGGGTAGTCATACCCAGGTCTGTAACTTCTTTAGGTTTAACAATGCCTTAAGCAAGTCCTGCCCATTGTTCTTGTGCATCTAGGTTAACACACATTTGAACTGTCAGTAACCCTTTTTTCAGGAACACATAATCTTAACTATCCTGTAATACAGTCGTAGAGATTTCCCCACTTTGCTTTTTCCCAAGATCATGTAATCTTAGTTCCCTTAATTCCAAATGTATAAAAAGAAATGCAAAATTGTCATTCTCGAGAGCATTTGAGATCTTGCTTTCTGACATATCAGTTTGGGTCAAATAAATTCATAAAAATTCTCTACTGGTTTGAACATTCTTATGTCTCACTTTTAACTCCAAATATGGCTAATTTTTCTCTAAGATGATGGTGACAAGTGGTGTACTCTGAAGTTAGACTGCTTAGATTTAAATCCAGGCCTTGCTACTTTCTGGCTGTAGACCTTGAGCAAGTCACAACCTTTGTTACACCTCTTAACTGAAAGCAGGGGCAGTGCTAGAACTTAACCTCATGGTTTGTTGTGAGGATTAAATGAAATGATATGAAATGCTTAGCTAATTCTTGTTATATAGTAATTCATCATTGTATGTTAGCTGCTGTCATCATCACCTGTTATTATTACTATTTAATAATTATTTTTTCTCCTAATATTAAACTGTTGATGACTATTCAGGAGCACCAAACCTTGAACTGACTTCTCTCTACTTCAAACTGGGAAAAGCTTAGTCTTAATATGTCTGATATGCCACTGTTTTTGTTTTCGTTTTTAGCTGAACTTGTAGTCGATAAAGCCATGGAGTTAAGGTTTGTGGGTGGTGTCTATGGTGGCAATATAAAGCCAACTCCCTTTCTGTGTTTGACTTTGAAGATGCTTCAGATTCAACCGGAGAAGGATATCATTGTTGAGTTTATAAAAAATGAAGATTTCAAGTGAGTGAAATGTTAATATAAAAGCTTCAATTTCAGTAGTCCAGAATTTGTCTTTGGTTAAGAGAAGTGATAACATATCTCATTTCCACAGAGTTCCACTCTAGGGTTTTGTTTTTGAACTCTTAAATTAGTATTTTATCTGTGTTGATTGTAGTGATCTTCATTTTTCCAGTTTCAGTAACTTTCCCCCAAAAAAAGTATGTCACAAAGTCACAGATGCTCAGGGGTGAAGAAAACAACATACTGTAGAAGAGGGGAAACTTTGGTATTAGATACAGGTTCATGTCTAGTCTCTGTTACTTATTAACTGTGAACTTAGAGAAGTTACTTAATTTTCTAAAGAAGTTACTTTCTTTACCTGTAAAATGGAGACAACAGTATCAACTCAGGATTGATGTGAGGGTTACAAAAGATAATGCGAGGTGTATGTTGCATAGTCAACATCCCCAAAATGTAAGCTGCTCCTATTTTATTATCCATTTTCAAGTAACTTACAGACAAGAGATATACATAATAGTTTAACCTTCACAACAACCCTGTGAAATTATTATACCCATTATAATAGAGGAAGAAACTTAAACACAAAGAGGTTAAGTAATTTCCCCAATGTCAGACAGAAAGTGGAGAAGCTGGCTTCAGATATCTTATTCTTTGCTACTGTCTTATCTAAGTGGAGGTTTGAATAGGTAGTTGGATATAAGAGAAAGGGAAAAGGAAGGAATCTTAGCAAAAACATTAACAGCTAGAAAATAGCTAACTTTAATTAGGCACTTACTATGTGCTGTATGCTGTGCTTAGAACTTTACACATACTTCTTTCTTAATATGCCATACCAGCAAATTAGGTGCTGTCATCTGCATTTTACAAGACTTGAGAAAGCAAATAACTTGTCCAGTGTAACAAAATTAGTAAGTAATGGAATCAGAATTTGAACCCAGATGACTTTGACTTTTTTCCAGAACTAGCATTTTGCTGCCTAGTAACAATTTATATATTCATGTTTATATGTATTAGTTCATGTTAGTAAATATATCTTATATTTTCTGTTAAATTCAGTGTCTTATTTGATTCTTACAATAATCCTGTGAGGTAAAAGGTTTAATCTTAGTTTTTCAGATGATATAATAGATTCTGAAAGTTGAATACCACATCCCAAATTCCCACAACTAATAAGTGGTAGAATGGGGACTTGAACCCAGGTCTCCATATTTTAGCTCTTTTTACTGCCCCATGCTGCCTCTAAAATTGTAGCTTTCTCATCTGCCAAAGAGAAGAAAAGTAACTTGTTTACCCAATACTGTCATAAGAAAAGCAAGCCAGTTGTAAAATGTATGAACTTTTTAGGATGAACTTTTAGGATCTTTTAGAACTTTTTAGGAATTGCTATTTCACTGTCATTTTTCTGTCAGGTATGTCCGCATGTTGGGAGCACTTTACATGAGGCTGACAGGCACTGCAATTGATTGCTACAAGTACTTGGAGCCTCTGTACAACGACTATAGAAAAATTAAGAGCCAGAACCGAAATGGGGGTAAGTATGATGCCATGTGATGGAACCTTCATCCCTGAGCTGGTTTTTATTTCACATCTCTGCCCTCATATTGTCACATACATTGTGAGTGCTCCCCTGTATCTCCCTCATGGGGAGTAGTACTCCATTAGACTGTTAGCCTCCTGTTGGCCTTAACCAGCCAGCCCTGCCTGCCCGCCTTTCCAACTACTTTTTCTTTTTTCTTTAAAGGAATGCTTCATGGACTTACATGTTATCCTTGTGCAGGGCCATGCTAACTTCCTCTGAATTGTTCCAATTTTAGTGTATGTGCTGCCAAAACGAGCACCCGACTGCATCTTACATTGATTCTAGCCTTGCATTATGTGCTCCTTCCACATGTGCTCCATCCCGTAAGATTTAGCCCTAGAATGACCTCCATAAAAGCCTTCCTCAAAACTCCTAGGTTAGGTTTCCATGTTACATTTTTCCAGTTCTTTTTACTGGCCTCTCTAGAACTAGACTTCACACTGCAATGTGTAGACTAAGTGTACTTATTCATACTTATGTAGGAGTCCCACTAAAAAATAATAAGTATATCCCAGAGGTACAGCTCCATGCCTCTTACAAAGAGATATTTTTAGTGGTAAAGTAGGATAATGTAATCAAAACCTTTTTTCACATAGCGCGATAAAAGGTTGATAACATTTTTTTTCTTTTTTCTTTGCCTTTCCCACCTACATGTATCATTATTAAGCAATAGAAGGTTAAGAATTTGGAATTATACTTTAAACTTTTGTTAACTTATTAATTCATTCATTGAGTAAATACATATTAAGGGCCAAGTCATGCCAGGTACTGTGCTATGTACTGGAAATAACATGGTGAACAAGATGGATGTGGTCATGGCCATCATGGAGTTAACTTATTTATGGTTATGTTATGTTAACTAAACTAAGAAAGGATTTCTCAATTTATTGGCAACTTGGGCCAGATAATTCTTTGTAGGGAGCTGGTCCTGTGCATTATAGGATATTTAACAGCATCCCTGGCCTCCATCCCTTAGACGCCAGTAGCACTCCCCACCCTAGATATGAGGGGCAAAATCACCCCTGGTTGAGAACTAAAGTAATGTTCACTACAGAAGTTCTGAAACTGTTCCATTTACCATATAAGAGACATGTTCTGTTTCCAGAAACATAGTAGGTTCACATGAGAAATTACACTTTAGTGATATGATCTATTCAAGAATATTACTCCTTGCCCTAGCCAGTTTGGCTTAGAGGTTAGAGCGCTGGCCCTCAGACCAAGGAGTCACGGTTTTGATTCCAGTCAAAGGCGTGTGCCTGGGTTGCAGTTTGGTCCCCGGCCCTGGTCAGGGTCATGTGGAAGGCAGCCACTCGATGTTTTTCTCTCGCCATCTCTCGCTCGCTCGCTCTCTCACGCTCTCTCTTCCCCCTTCTTCCCTCCCACTCTGTTTGTGGAAAAAAAAAAAGAACATTACCCCTATACAATTTACAACTATTGTGCTTGCTTTTGTGTTTGTCTCGTCTGCTGATTGGGACAGCTTTATTTATTACCCTCTTATCCCCAACTCCTAAATGAGGCCTGGCACACAGATGGTCTCATTAAAAGTTGAATTGAATGAAGTTGATGGTGAAGCCTTCAAAGGGCTGTAGTTTAAGCCCAGCTTTGAAAGTAGTCCCTTCTGTGTAATTAGTACTTTGCAATAGCTTTACTAGTGAAAGGGAAGCTGTAAGGAATTAACACTTTTACTTTTTGGCTACCTAAATTTATTTCCAAGCAGCTTGAGCTTATGATTTTTCTTTCAGAGTTTGAACTGATGCACGTAGATGAGTTCATTGATGAACTACTGCATAGTGAGAGAGTCTGTGATATCATTCTGCCCCGACTACAGGTAAGAGACAAAAGTCTCATATGTGAGTCACCCTTCTCCCCCTAAAACAGGCACAGGCGCATGCACACACACTAAACTATTTAAACTGATGGATTTCAGGATCTTCTTAGTCTTCATATCTATGAAAAATCAGATTGGGGGTGAGAGGAAAGCAAATAATTTGAAGGGTGGGAATTTAAAAGTGATTAACACAGGAAGACTTCCTGCTTTAAAATGTCATGTCAGCCCTGGCCGGTTTGGCTCAGCAGTTAGAGAGTCAGCCCGAGGACCAGAGAGTCCCAGGTTCAGTTCCTGCTAAGGGCACGTACCTTGGTTGTGATTCATCCCCAGCCCTGGTTGAGGTTGTGTGGGTGGCAACCAGTTGATGTGTCTCTCTCACATTGATGTTTCTCTCTCTCTCTTCCTCCCTCTCTCCCGCCCGCTTTATCTGAAGATAAATGCAAAAATGTCCTCAGGTGAGGATAATAAAAAAAAAAGATAATAATAATAAAGTGTCATGTCAAGGAGACTGTAGCTAGGGTAGATTTTAAACTTGGTGAGCACCTTTTTTCAAACTGACTTTTATATAAAAATTTGGGATATAAAACAGATAAAAGGAGGCTCAGGAGTAAGGAGACTGAGACCTTAACCCCTAAAACAGCACTGTAATCATCCTGCCTCCCTTTCCCAGAGATAAATGATGGTCCATAAGTACCTTTCAGGAATGGCTTTTTTAAAGAGTATGATTTTAAAACTGTTGAAAATACAAAGGGAAAACAGATACAATAGAGGTAGCCTAAAGAGAAAGGGAATGTGGAGATTACTAAAGAAAAAGTGTAGAGTTGACTGAACAGGGAATTAGGAGACTTAAGTTTCTGGGTTATTATTACAGCTGACTAGCTGTGAGACCTGGTCTTATTTTCTCATCTAAAAATGGAAAAAATTAGATTACCTCAGTGGTCTGCCCAATGAGACTGTTTTGTTTTTTATAATTTGTGTGTGTTTTTTTTAATATGTTTTTATTGATTTTTTAGATAGAGAGGAAGGGAGACATAGAAACATCAACATGGGAGAGAAACATTGATCAGCTGCCTCCTGCATACCCCCTACTGGGGATCGAGCCCAAAACCTAGGCATGTGCCCTGAATGGGAATCGAACAAGGACATCTCAGTCCATGGGACAACACTCAATCCACTGAGCCACACCAGCCAGGCCCCATGGGACTGTTTTAAGGCTACTGAAAGGAATAAGAGGAGGTAGCCCCACATTTCCCAACCAGAGCAGCTCCTTTTTCTCTAAAAAAACATATTGGGCTTGAGAGTGAGATTTTATTTGAGCAAAGGTTTTTTTTAAAAATGGCTTTATGCCCTGGCCAGTTTGGCTCAGCGGTTAGAGCGTCGGCCTGCGGTCCGGAGAGACCCGGGTTCAGAGAGACCCGGGTTCGGTTCCCGCTAAGGGCACATACTTCGGTTGCAGTTTGTCCCCGGCCCTGATTGGTCGTGCGGGTGGCAGCCACTCGATGTGTCCCTTCACGTCGATGTTTCTCACTCTCTCTCCCTTCCTCTCTCTCCCTCCCACTCTATCTGTACAAAAAATGGAAAAATATCCTCGGGTGAGGATAAAAAAAAAAAAAAAAAAAATGGCTTTATTAAGGTTTAATTGACATAAAATAAACCATAGATATTTAAAGTAAACAATTTGGTAAGTTTAGACATATGTACTTATACCCTTGAAACTATCATCACAATTAAGAATAGTGAACATAACCATTACCTCAAAAACTTTCTTTTGTGTAATCTCCCCCTCCCCGCCCAGCTCTCTCTCACCCCTAAGCAACCATTGAAATGTGTGCTACCTATTACAGTGGATTATTTTGCAATTTGGAATTAATACAGTACAGCCCAGCCAGTGTGGCTCACCAGTTGAGCATCAACCCATGCACCAAGTGGTCACTGGTTCAATTCCCGGTCAGGGCATATGCCCATGTTGTGGGCCAAATCCCCAGCAGGGAACATGCAGAAGGTGGCCAGTCGAAGTTCTCTCTCATCCATGTTTCTATCTCTTTCTCCAAAATCAATGAAGAAAAAAAACTTAAAGCCCTGGTCAGTTTGGCTCAGCAGTTGGAGCGTTGGCCCATGGACCAAAGAATCATGGGTTCGATTCTGGCCAAAGGCACATACCATGTTTGCAGTTCATCCCCAGCCCTGGTTGGGGTCGTTCGGGAAGCAGCCAATTGATGTGTCTCTCACATTGATGTCTCTCTCTCTCTCTCTCTCTCTCTCTCTCAAGATAAATGGAAAAATATCCTCAGGTGAGAGAGAAAAAAAGAATACAGTACATTCTCATTTTTGTCTGTCTTCTCATTCAGCATAATTATTTTTGAAATTCATCTATGTTGTTGCATGTATCAATAGTTTATTTCCTTTTATTGCTGAATGAGTGGTATATCTCTCCTGTTCCATACTGGCTACCGTAGGCCGTGTAGTGAAGAGAATGAGATTTCAAATCTGAAAACTGGCTTTCAGGGCCCAGTTCTCTCACTAGCTCATTGTGGATTAGTTGTTACTATTTTCTGCTATTATTTTTATTTTTTTAAATATGTTTTTATTTATATTTTAGAGAGAGAGGGAGAGAGAGAAACATCAATTGGCTGCCTCCTTCATGCTGTCTACTAGGGATCGATCCTGCAACCTGGGCATGTGCCCTGACTGGGAATTGAACCGGGACCTCTCAGTCCATGGGCCGATACTCAATCCACTGAGCCACACCAGCCAGGCTGCTATTATTATTTTTAGAAATACAGCAAGAAATGTAATACTTAGAATTGCAATCATGTTATAGTTGACGGTTCCAAAGCCCAGTCAGCTCTAAGCAAGCCCCACTGAGGAGAGAGAAATTGAAATCTGACTGATACCTTTATGTCACCAAGAGGTGTGTTCTAGTGTGGGCCTCTTACATGTCCTGGATGAAGTGATCCTTAAGAAGTGACCCCCCTGTACTGATTCAGTTCTTATTAAGCAACACATAAGTCATCAGTTTAGCCTTTAATTTCATCAAACACAGGTATATCTGAGTATATCAACTTTAGTCACTTCCAGGTCTGGTGAGCATTAGGGATTCTGAATATCCTATCTAAGGCCATCGTAGATCCCAAACTGTGGTGATCCTATGATTGGAGAGCATTTTTCTGAGGGATTAACTTCAATGAGTGGCATCTTTGTCTCATTTCTACCAGCTTTTATAGAATTTTGTTAGGGATGAATGAGAGCTAAGTATTATACAAATGTTACTATTTGTTCTAAGGCTGTCCAACATTCATGTGCTTGGCACAAGGAAATGGTAAGGGATCTCATGACCCAACCAGTCCATTTGGCAGTTTTGAACTCTCCTTTGCCTCTCAGGTCCTTAGTCACTTGATAAGCACTGCTTAACTACATCTCGATAGAAGGCAGAACCAAGTGAATTGTTTATTTCCTGTGCCTTGTTAAAAATATGATCCATGACAACTCTCTGAATCTTGGGTATAAAAAAAATTAGTGCTACTCTAAGGCAGGACCCAAGGCACTCTTCAGCCCCCAGACTGGGCTGAGCCTTACTGGATCTCTTGGGGGTACATTCTGATCTGAGCTGCTTCTGGCAGAACTACCAGCCAACACGGTCTCAGCCATGAACTTATGGCCCTTGTATATGAAGTCCTTTTTTTTTTTTTTTAATCCTCACCCAATGATATTTTTCCATTGATTTTTAGAGTGGAAGGGAAGGAGACAGAGAGAGAGAACTACCAGTGTGAGAGATACATCAGTAGAGTTGCCTCCCGCACGACCCTGACCAGGGCCAGTGATCAAACCTGCAGCCCAGGTACGTGCCCTTGACTGAAATCAAAGCCGTGACCCTTCATTTGACCTGTCGACGCTCTAACCAGAGCCAAAGCGGCCAGGGCAAGTCCACATATTTTATTTGAGGCTATACCTATCCTGATTGGTATCCCAGTGACCTTAAGAATATAAGATCACAGCCCTGGCCGGTTTGGCTCAGCGGTTAGAGCGTCGGCCTCGGTCCGAAGAGACCCGGGTTCGGTTCCCGCTAAGGGCACGTACTTCGATTGCAGTTTGTCCCCGGCCCTGGTTGGTCGTGCGGGTGGCAGCCACTCAATGTGTCCCTTTCACGTCGATGTTTCTCTCTCTCTCTCTCCCTCTCTCTCCCTCCCACTCTATCTATACAAAAATTGGAAAAATGTCCTCGGGTGAGGATAAAAAAATAAAAAATAAAAATAAAAAGAATATAAGATCACAGAGAATAGAGGCAACAGAAAATGGAGATGTCCCTTCAGCTTTGTATCCGTTACAGGGGAACCTAAAAGACTGTATAGATTTAAGCTATTTAACCTCCCTAGACAATCTTAAACTGTCTAGAATGTCTTTGAAATGAATCTCAGAAGCCCAGTGTTGGGGCTTCTGGACATAGAGGATATAGCAAGGCCCCCTAACACTCATTGTGTTCTCTTTAGAAACGCTATGTGCTAGAGGAAGCTGAGCAGTTGGAGCCTCGGGTTAGCGCTCTAGAAGAGGACATGGATGATGTCGAGTCCAGTGAAGAGGAGGAAGAAGAGGATGAGAAGGTCAGGTACCTAGGAGCTTAAGGGAGAAGGGGATAGTTATAGGGGATGGGAATAGTGCTGTTTTATTTTGTGAAAATGTTTAATTTTCTTTAACCAAAAAATGCAGTATTTAGTCAATAAGAATATGGGTTTTAGAGTTAAAAAGACCTTGGTTTATATCTCAGCTCTGCTAATATAGTGGTATAATCTTGTGCAAATTACATAATCTCAGTTTTCACCTCTGTAAAGAATAATGATACCTTTCATTTAGGACTGTTAATGAATATTAAATGAGATGATATATGTAAAGCCCTTAGCACAGTATTAGGACATTATAATTGCCTAATAAGGGGTAGCTATTAAAATAAATATTTGGGACAAAAGTAATACTGTTTATAATTGAACCATCCTAAGAACTAAGCCTGGTTTAGAAAAAAAGAAGTGCCTACTGCATGTTCATGTTCTTTCATATTAGTTATAATATGAAAAGCTGAAAACAACCAAGCTCTCAGGGAGCAAACTAATATATCAATTGAACAGTAGGCAGCCATTAAAACTGTTAGGAAAAGTATAAGATAACATGGAAATACAGTAAGTTAACACATATTTGACTGCTCACGAGTTAACTCGTGTTTTCCTACCCAAACGTTGTGGACCGCGCACAAGTTAACTCGGGTTTGCACTTGCATTAGCTATTTCAGTTTTTGAAACTCAGGGTAATATAGGATTATTGTATTTGTGACTCTTCGCCCTGAGGGTCCAAGTTCGAAAAACAGCACACAGTTCTATATTCTTGAAGTAGTTAGGGAATGGATATCTGCTGGTTCAAATGAGTACAGCTCAGAACCTAACGTGCAGTTTGCCCAAAAACATGCGGTCCCTGGGGTATGTCTTAGAGATTTCTATGCGGTACGCAGTGTGTTAAAAAAGGACCTAAAACATTTGTGATTAAAATTAAAGCAACAATATATGCATGGGAAAAGGCTAGTGGGATTCTGAGACATTACAAATGGAAGTATATCCCTGAGCCATCAGGCTCCCTTAAAGTTGAGTGCAGAAGGAAACACAATCATTCATGAACTCAAAGCCATGCAAAGCTGAGGTGCTTTTCTGTGGTGAGTGATCAAAAGTAGGTTTTTTTTCTTTAAATGGAAAGTTTTAGTCACATACCAAAGTGAAGAGAATAAACCTCAATTTACCCATTAGCATAGCTTCAACAGTGATAAACTCATAGCCAGTTTGTTTCCTCTACCTCTATCCAGTTACCCCCCCCCCACACCAATTATCTTGAAACAGTTATTTCCTTTATCAGTTTTTGAAATGAGTTGATTCTAGTCTCCCAAGATGGTGAGTGCTCTTTTGTCCTTGGTAACATTGTGAATTCATGGATTTAAGCATTTTTTATGTGTTTTGAACCATTGTTGTTGCTTTTGATGCTCAGATTGTCCCATCTTTGGCCTGTGGGGCCCCTCAACTTGACTAGTGAGACTTTGATACAGTCATAGTAGTCTCAGCCTCCTTACTTTCTGATGTATGTTCTAGTTGTGTCTTATTAGCTTCTACCTCCAACCTGGAATTAGCCATTTTCCAAGGAGCCCTTGGTTCCATTTACTGAGATACGGTATTTAGATAGCACAACTTGGGTACTATAAGTGTATTGCTATGGTTTGGTCAGTGTTACTAGACCTTTATAGTTGGCTGAGCTAGGGGAAATTTTTTTTAAGATTTAAGTATACCCTGAGTTTGTACTTAACCTTAATGATTTTACATCTATATCTCCTTTTGCTTTGGAAATCCAACTTGAGATAAACATCATTGCTTATCTCTCACTACTCTCAAAAAGTCCCAGAGTAATGGTACCCACACCATAACAATAATGGGATTATTGGGAAGTTTTTTTATTTGGAATTTTTTTCTCATCAAGATTATCCCTCCATGTTTTCAAATTACTGTTTTTAAAATCACTTGAAGGTAGAATTTGGGACAGGATGGGGAGGGGAGTGTGGCAGTGTTTCTAAATGGCTCATCACTGATCCATCTATCTCGTTTCCAGTTGGAGAGAGTACCATCACCTGATCACCGCCGGAGAAGCTACCGGGACTTGGATAAGCCCCGTCGCTCTCCCACACTGCGCTACAGGAGAAGTAGGAGCAGGTCTCCCAGGAGGTAAGGCCCTAGTCATTTGCCTCTTCCAGGGAGACTTTAAGCATTGTGGTGTCTGAGTTTGGACTTCAGGGAAGGAAAAATGCCAGTCTTTGGAGAATGTTTGCTTGCCCAATGTGTTAGTTGCTGGAAAATAACCATCCACAAAACCTCAGTGGCAGACAATAACCATTTATTTAAGTTCACAAGTCTGCAGTTAGTGATATAAGCTGGGCAGTTTTTTGAGTACATTATTTTCACTCACCTGATTTGTAGTCTGTTGGCCATTACAAGATGGCCTTAGCTAGGATGACTGGGGCAATTCATCTCTTCTATGTGTCTCATTCTAGGCTAGATAGGCACGTTCTCATGGTAATGGCAGAATTCAAGAGCAAACAAGCCCAATCATGCAAGTTTCTTTCCACTATATGCTTGTATCACATCTGTAAATATCCCATTGGCCAAAGCAAGTCACTTGGAGTGGGAGGGTGCTAAAAAGTTACATGACAAAAGAGATGGATAACAGAGATGGGTTAAGAATTGGGGCAATTTTTTGTAGTCTACAACATTCAAGGCACCTACCTACTAAGGCTCTTCATGTTTTCTTTCCACATAGGCGGAGTCGGTCTCCCAAAAGGAGGAGGTAGGCCTTCAGGGTTTTTGTAATGAAGGATAGGAATTGGGGGGGGGCATGGTTTTTTGTGATCATATTGTCAGACAGATATGGGAGTTTGAGCAGTCATTTCCACAGCCCCTCCCCTCGTCGAGAGAGGCATCGGAGCAAGAGTCCAAGACGTCACCGCAGCAGGTCCCGAGATAGACGGCACAGATCCCGCTCCAAGTCCCCAGGTATAGCATTTGCTACTGGTTGTCTTACAAAGAAATGTAATAGGGACAGTTAACCTCCTACAATACTGGAGTGCCCGTGTTATTGCTTAGAACAGGAAATGGATTAATTTGAAAATTAAGAGTTCACATCTTGACTTCCACTTACAAGCTTTGCTGATAAGATGAGCCTCAGTTTTTTCATGTGAAATTTTAGGGCTAAGACCTAATAGAGGGATGGTAAATAACCAGTGTGATGTTTGTAGAATAAGCATGAAGCCCAGAATGCATATGAAATGGATTCAGTTCTCCTCTCCCCACTATATACACACTAGTTCAGAGAGGTGCTACCAGAGGTGTCCCAGCATAGGCCAAAAAAATATTAAGCTAATGGAAGGGATTGCAGGAGGTGAAAATGACAGTGGAGTAGGAGGGTAGAATCTTATTCATCCATTGGCCTTTTCTTCCCCAGGTCATCACCGTAGTCATAGACACAGGAGCCACTCAAAATCTCCTGAAAGGTATGGACTGACCTCTATTTTGACTTGAGAATTTCACTCTTTTTTTTTTTATCCTCACCTGAGGACATTTTTCCATTTTTTGTTCAGGTAGAGTGGGAGGAAGTGAAAGGAACAGAGAGAGAGAGAAACATCGATGTGAAAGGGACACATCGAGTGGCTGCCACCCGCACGACCAACCAGGGCCGGGGACAAACTGCAACCGAGGTACATGCCCTTAGCGGGAACCGAACCTGGGTCTCTCTGGACCGCAGGCCGACGCTCTAACCGCTGAGCCAAACTGGCCAGGGCAAGAATTTCACTCTTTATTCAGAAATTAAAGGCCCAATCACAACTAAATTTGACCTGAAATTTTGTTTTGATGGGAATAGTTAGGGAATCTCATTACAGGACAAAAATCGGCCTGTTTCCCTGAGAATTTCTAGAATTATATATGTTTGTATTGTTTTGTTTTTTCTTGTAGGATTGTAGCTTTGGATAGTGGTAAGGGCATAAGCTTTGATCTCAGGAGACCTGGGCTTAACCCTAACTTTTAACACTTTAACAGAATGACATTGAACAAGTCACTTAAATTTGATAAGCTTTCATTAGAAATGTCTATATGCTATACAGTTAGGTTCATTCTTAATCTCAGAGGTCATTTCCTCAATAGTAAATTTTGGATAGTAATGCTACCTAGACTCATTGTGTTGCTCTGAGACATAAAAACACCAGGCCATTGCCTGGCTGGTTTGCTCAGTGGTTAGACCAACGAGTCTCAGGTTTGATTCTGGTCAAGGGCACATACTCCCTGGGCCTGGTGGGGTCATGCAGGAGGCAACCAGTTGATGTGGCTCTATCACATCGATGTTTCTCTCTCTGTCTCTCCCTTCCTCACGCCCACTCTATCTGATAAGTAGAAAAATATCCTTGGGTGAGGAATAAAAAAAAACACACACCAGGCCATTTAATGAATATTGGGTATCATCTCTGTCCCCATCGGTGTCACCATACCCCATCAAAAGTCCTTGAACAGCTATTAAATTTAATAATTTGTATGTGTTGCCATTTCAGATCTAAGAAAAGCCACAAGAAGAGCCGGAGAGGGAATGAGTGATGGACTCAGTTTGGGTTTAGTCCATATGGCCTCCTGCTGCAGATATGAAGTCATCTCTCTAAGTGGAAGGATTAATATCTACTCCCAAGGCAGCTATGAGAATATTTTAGGGTGTTTTGTTTTTTTTAAAACCTAAAAGAAGTTTCTCCACTTTTTATTTTAAAAAAAGAGGTGCTGAGTTTTATATATTTTTTTGAATCCTAATCCATGTTTGAGGGGTAACGCTTCCCAAGGGCTGCTTTTGAACCCCTTGTACAACCAACGTTGAGGATTTGAGGGGTGGAGAGTATGAATGACAAGCAGAGGATATGGCCACCTAGTGCTTCTTTTGTTACTAAATTTAACACACCCATTTTCCATCTATCTGGTTTAGTTTTTTGTTTGCTCCCTGATTGGAACTGTTCTGAGAATCTTAAGATTTTTTCTCCTGCTGTTAATCAAAGATCAAGTCAGTAAAACAGCACCAACTTTCCCCCCCAGCAGTAGCAAGTGATAATAAACATGAAAACTGCTAGTCAGTTTTGTAAGGAAATGTAGTAGTAAGGCTTCTGAATCACTTAATCCAGTTATACTGCACAGTTCAACAAACAGTAAAATTTAACACCTTTTATACAGCATTCTTACATAGTGTTTTCTTTTTCCACACAAGCCTTGAATTTCAGGTTAAGATGCTCAGCCTTTATTCTACAGGAATTCACATTATCCAAGTCTGGTCAGTAGCAGTAGGGCAACAAGATGGAAAAGTTTGATGGAGAGAAAAGTAATACTTAGGGTTTTGACCTGAAATGGACAAGAGTGCCATTCACAAAGCCAGAAAATATAGCAGGAAGAGATCAGGTTCTACAAGGGTAGGTAGCAAGAGTTGTAGTAGTGAAAATGATGTATTCAGTTTAACTTGAGACAGCTGTGGTATATCTAGACAAATCCCAGAAAGTTGGAAATAAGAACTGGAGCTGAACATACTGATCTAGCCCTGAACTGAGGATGTTTGAGTAATTTTGGATGCCTAGAATTAAACATATTGACCCCAGGCAGTGTGTGTATAATGTAGGAAAAGCCAAAAACAGAATTATAAGCAACAGCAGCACTGGTGAGAGGAAGAAGTACAACCATGGGTTGAAAACTGAAATGAACCATTCAGAAAGAATTAGAAGAGGTCTAATGACACAGAAGCAAAGTAAGGACTGAAAAATGTTTATGGGAATTGATAAGAGAATGTTGGGATCTTTGCTAGAAAAGTTCCATTTACCTATACTTACCTTTCCTCCTTTAAAAATGGAAAAATGATTGAATGACTTCCTGCAGCTCTAATCCCAGCAAGAATTGTGAATACCAACTGCCTCACTGGATGGATCCAGTTTCTTGGAAAGCCATATCTGGTCATAGGATTCACATTCTATTGCTTGCTATTGAACTGAAGGATTATTGCAGCAGTATTAAAAGTATTTGGGCATCATATTTATGATTTCAAATTCTTCAGTGATTCTTCTCTGAAAATACTTCAGCTAGCTAGTAAGAATTGTCCGTCAGAGCTCTTTTGGTTTATCATACCACTATACATAAGACTGCCTTTAAAAATTAAATACAAGCACCTCTTTTTACCTCTGTTTTAGAGTCCTAACAGTTATTTCTTACCATTGATGATCTAGGCAGAAAGAACCATCTTTTGGCTGAATAACCTATGGACCAACCAACTCATTATCCAGTATATTATTAAAATAAAATATTTAAAGTACACTTTAAAATAAAAATGTAGCCTGGCCTGTATGGCTCAGTGGATTGAGCATCATCCCATGGACTGGAGAGGTCCCAGTTCGATTCCCAGTCAGGGCACATGCCCGGGCTGTGGGCTCGATCCCCAGTAGGGGGCATGCAAGAGGCAGCCTATCGATGTTTCTCTCAAAAAAAAAAAAATAAGAACATATTTTAAAAATAAAATAAAAATTTATAATGTTTGTCTTAAAAAACCAACAACTTTTAATAACAGAAATAAACCTCCCCAAACAAACTGTAAACATAAAGTATACTTGTTCGGCATATGGTGAAACCTGGACCAAATTGGAGCAGCATAGCCAACCTATAGCAGGAAGCAGACTGTCCAAATTCTTGTTAGTACAACAAAAGAACAGTGAGTGGGATATGATGAACATCTCTCTGGGTATCGTCTTGATAAATTACAGGTTTGCAGAGGAGATGGAGCTTAAGGATAAATCTTGCTGAAGGGCCATTTCTGTCATCTATATGTTAGCTAGTCTCGTAAATGAGGTCTTGGAACTGTAGCTTTATAACTTTTTTTTTTGCTTTGGCCTATAAACAAACTTTGCATCATGTGTATTCTGTACTGAAAAAAATCTTAATACCTTACGCAAAATACATTCTGATGTTTTCTATGTCGTACCCGTTTTTAATGTTGGGTGCAAACCACTAAATTGATTTCACTTCCCACAATTTGAATTACATGGCCTTAAAGCTTTGCCATAGGGCACAATGACTTTTAAATACTAAAAAAATTAAGGGAGAAATGTGTCCTCAGAAGCAAAGGAAATAATATAGTGAGATGAGAGGCTTCTAATATAACAACCCAACTTAAAGCTCATTCCTCTTAGCCCCTTTCTGTTATTTTCTGCAGACTGGCCTGAGTTTAAATAAGCATTAATCAGAAAAGCATGATCACAGGTGGTGGCCACACACCCAAAAGTTAAACAAGTTCTCCACAGTGATAAGAGTTTTTAAAAATGCAAATGTACAAGTTCAAAGGAGAGATTAAAAGATAAGACATGGAAAATTAGCTTGGAAGAGTGTAAAATGAAGATGTGAAAAACTGGAAAAATGAAACCTTAGAAAACAAAATATAAACAGAAGGCACTGAGAAAATAGGTTGGAGGGAAAAATGGAAAATAGTAAAAGCTATAGAGATAATAAAAAATCCTTCATATGATTCCTGATGAGAACTGAGCAAATCAAAGTTTGAACATTTCTCCACTTTCATATTTTTTTCATCTTGTTAAATCCAAGTAAAATTAATTTTCTATATTTACTAAATACAGGATATGAGCTCATTTTGGTAAAACTGCATGTATACATATGTTTATGTTTAAGAGATGGTTGGAATGAAGGAAGTTCACCAGATAAGAGTATTTATTTCTGGTTGATGGGCTTCTGAGTACTTTATTTAATGCTCACTTTATTTTTTCTTTTTAAATAAACATTTAAATTAAATTCTCTTTTACAAGGAAAAAGTGAGTTGTTTGGAAAAAGCTTTTTTATAAGCTTACCAACACACATTTTATATGTGGACAGTAATTTGGCAGTATGTCGGAGGAACCTTGGAATTTTCATCCTTTTTACCTAATCTATTTCTAGGAATTCACCATAATATGGAAACATGCACAAAAATAGTTTATCCCAGAAATAAAACTAGACTAGTTAGAGCATATACAAAAATTTAAAAATGGATTAAAGACTGAATTTGAAATGTAAGACCTGAAACCACAAAACTCCTGGAAGAAAACATAGGCAATAAACTTTTGGACATTGGTCTTAGCAATATTTTTTTGGATATGCCTCCTAGGGCAAAGACAACAAAAGCAAAAATAAACAGATGGAACTACATCAAACTAAAAAGCTTCTGCACCATATAATTAACAAAAAGGCAACCTACTGAATTGGAGAAATTATTTGCAAATAATATATCCAATAAGGGGTTAATATCCAAAATATATAAATAACTCCTAGTTTGGCAAACAATAAGATTAAAAATATACAGAGGATAAGAATAGGCATTTCTCCAAAGAAGACATACAGGTGGTCAGGGAAATGCAAATCAAGCCACGATGAGATATCACCTCACACCTGTCAGAATAGCTATTAATAAATCAACAAGTGTTGGCAAGGATGTGGAAAAAAGGGAACCCTTGTGCACTGTGTTGGTGGGATTGTAAATTGGTGTGTACCCATTATGGAATACAGTATGAAGTTTCCTCAAAAAATTAAAAACAGAGTTACCATACGACCCAGCAATTCCACTTCATTTCTGGGTATTTATCTGAAGAAATCCAAAACACTAATTTAAAAAGATATGTGCACCCCTATATTCATTGCAGTATTATTTACTATAGCCAGATATGAAAGCAACCTTGGTGTTTATTGATAGATGAATAAAGATATAGTGTGTGTGTATATATATATATGTATATATATATATATATATACACACACACACACAATGGAGTGTTTTACTCAGCAATAAAAAAGAATGAAATCTTCCTATTTGGGACATAGATGGCACAAAATGAAATAACTCAGAAAGAAAGATGAATACTGTATAATTTCACTTTTATGTGGAATATAAAAAACAAACTCATAGATACAGAGAACAAACTGAGGGTTGCCAGATGGAAGGGGGGCGTTGGAGAGGGATGGGTGAAAAAATGAAAGGGAATAAGTCCAAGTACAAATTGCCAATTATAAGCCCTGGCCAGTTTAGCTTAGAGCGTTGACCTGCAGACCAGAGTCAGGTGTTCGATTCCAGTCCAGGGCACATACCTCAGTTGCAGTTTGGTCCCTGACCCTGGTAGGGTCTACAGGAGGCAACCAATCAATGTGTGTGTCTCTCCCTCCCTCTCTTTCCATTTATCTGAAGATAAATGGAAAAAAATATCCTTGGGTGAGGATTAAAAAAAAAATAGTCATGGGTCCCAGGCCAGTTTGGCTCAGCAGTTAGACCCTCAGCCCAAGAAAAAGAGTCACAGGTTCAATCCCTGGCCTGGTCGCCAGGTTGAGATTGTGCAGGAAGTATTCAATCAATGTGTCTGTCTCTCACATAGATGTTTCTTCCTCCCTCCCTCCCATTCTGTCTAAAAAAATCAAAGGTCCTTGGGTAAGGATTAAAAAAGAAAAAGTCACGGGAATGTCAAGTATATATATCATAGGGAATACAGTCAATAATATTGTATTAACTATATATGGTGCCAAATGGGTGACTTATGGTCATCACTTTGTAAGATATATAAATGTCTAATCACTATGTTTTACACCTGAAACTAATATCATATGTCAACTATAATTGAAAATTAAAATTTTAAAATTAGCTTTACCCCATCATCTTTTTAATATGTGAGAAAAAAGAAATAGCAAAAATATTCATCTTAGGGATTGAAAAAATAAATCACATAGTACGTCATTAATATTCATATCTTTGAATATTTAATGGCAAGGGGAAAAATTATTGTGTCCATGTCATAATTCTACCAAACATTTCAAAACTATACGATCTTAATTCAAAGTGTGTGTGTGTTCTCTGCATGAGGTGAAATAATTTTTTACCCTACAAATACATTTGAATAAAACCTTTCAAGTTTACAACTTATGTGAAAAGTTTGCAAACTTACAAACTGAGCTACTACTGTATAAATTACAAACTAATAAGAGTCTTCTGTTTTTCAACTAGGAACAGTTTTGCTGGTTATTGAACACTGGCAACTCCTGAAGGAAGGGACAAGTGAGATGATAAAAATTATAGTATATAACTGTCATATAAAGAAAACCTAGGTTACTGGGATCTATTGCCCTTAAATACTTATTGCCAGGTCATATAGTGCTTTCCTTGAGGAAGGAAGGCTGAGCTTGGGGCAGTCTCTTGTTGCAGACTGTTTTCTTTTTAATGAAAATTTCAAATATACATAAAAGTAGAATAAGTTAAACACCCTGTACACCTGATAACCTGTTCTTAGACCTGAAAAGGAAATGAAATACTTGAACACTAACTTTAAAAGAAAATCTTGAATGCTTCAAGTCACATTTTAACACAAAAGCATTACGTTGGGCCAGGTATCTCATTAAGAAATTAGTTAACTTCACCAGTTAGTAGGATTCTGAGGGATGCCAAAACTTTAATATGAAAAAGTAACAGTAAATACACCTGATCTTAACAATTAGTAAATACCTTTTCAGGGCTGTAAATATGACAGGAAAGCCCTCAACCTCCTGCAATAGATTTCAAGCATCTTCCATGTTGGAAAATATGGCAAAAGCCCAGGTAGTCTCTCCTATTTTAAGTAATGCATATCTGAGGAAGCAGAACAAAGATAACACACTCACTGTCCATAAAATACATTTTTTTTTTACTTAATCTGCACATTTCTAAAGAAACCTATAGCATCATTTAGCCTAAAATCCCTGGCAAATCTCTTTGAGGAATTTAGACAAAATGACTTTAACTTCAATGTATTAGCACCAAAAACAGCTAAAAAAATCTACCATCAATGACCCAAGTTTAAGTTCCAACTATAATCACTGACCACAAGCATTACTGAGAAACACCATCCTGGCAAGTTTGTTTTCCAGGTAGTAGTACAGGACTCAAAATGCATAATGTTCCTCAGTAAAGAATTACCTTCCTTTCCCTTTCATTGCCAGTATCAGTCTCAGTGTTTAAAAACTCTACCTCAAAAGATCTGTTCCAATTTTATTTCCAACATGTTTAAGTACACTACTTTTGAAACTCATTTTATTGTTTTGCACCTGTTTTCTCAGTGATAAAATGGAAACAGCATTTGCTTCTATCAACAGCATATGGGTGTTGTGAAGATCCAAAAAAAAGGGACATAAAAAACCTTGGATTTCTAAAATTATGTCTGTGAGTCAGAATACTCGCTGAGAGTAAAACAAGTCTCTGAATTGTTACATTATATTTCCATCATCTAAACCACCAGATGAATTAACCAAATTTGACTCTTGTCAAAAAGATTTATTAACTTAAAATAGAATTACTTCAAAT